TGTGGTTATCAGCATATACCTAGATCACGCGCACCTACAGTGATTTACTTGCATATATATATATATATATATATATATATATATATATATATATATATATATATATATATATATATTATTTGATTGAGCTCAAGTCAACCTGTTAGTTGCATTCTTCCATCATCTGTCACGAGGACGAAACATTTTAACGGAGTCACTATGAGTGGATTGCACACGAGGCAGAGGGTGAACTAAACATATCCCAATGGACACAAACACCCCCGGGCGTTTTGTGTTTAGGAGTGAAAGCGGACAATGACATGACCTTCTGGGAGCGCAACAAGGTCAAGACTCCCCAACCTGGAAGAATATTACTGAATGCTTTATAACGAGGTCTACTAATAATACTTATCAAATGACTTGTAATGTCCCAACCGGAATAAAACTGTGCATTCAAAATATTTCTTAAATACGGTGAAATCTCAGACATACAAAGTGTACGAGAATGTTTACTTCCTACAACGATTCAGTCTAACTTCTCAACTATGTGGGAGCCCCCTGAAGGTGTGTACCCCGAGAACATACTTGAGAGAATACTTGAAGGTCTTGTCTCTTAATTTACATGTAAGGAAATCTGCCAGTTGAGTAAGAAGACTCGTTACAGTGTGTGTGTGTGCGTGTGTGTTTGTGTGTAAGACAGGCTGAAGTAGGTTGCTGTAAGTGTAAAAGTAAGGGCCGTTATCTCCTTTTATTGTTTACTAGCACATATAGGAGCCTTGCTACTAGTAGGTGCGCCTTGGGTGCCATTTAAACAACTTGGTAGATTCTCCTCCACAAGTTCTAATCAGCCAGGTTGTTGTGGTTGACTTGCTGAGTTTGAACTGTTAGAAACTTGATCATGTCAGTCGAGAAGCTGACCGAACCACAAGGGGAGGAGAATGAAAGTCCCTGAAACTGACGCGAGGTCGCGAGGTAAAATACCGATGCTCTCTCTCCCCACACACATACACAGAGGAAGTGGGAGCGAGACCAGAGGCAGAGAATGGGGTGGGAGAGGGAAGGGGACGCGCGCGTTGGACAAGTGATCGATAGTTTTTGAGTTCGGATATGTAGAGGAAAACTGTTCATTTCCTCAGCGTCGTCTATAATAGTTTCTATAATTGTACAACTGAGACTGGTAGAACGTGTCGTATTTAAATATTTAGTGGGTGTGTTGGAGTTGAGATAGTCAATAATGATAACTTGTGTACAGTATACATGAAATGGCGGGAAATGTAACGGTGGCAGCAGCAGGTGGAAGGAGAAGCTCTACCAGTTATTTCTCCTACTTGTGTTTTAATCCCAGCTTACCGTAATACTGCACCTCCTTCCCGACCTTACACTATTGACTTCCACATATATATATATATATATATATATATATATATATATATATATATATATATATATATATATATATATATATGCAGAAACGGGTATTAAATAAAATACAATAAAATCAGATGCCAGACGTGCGGTATAGTTATTATTTTTTTTGCTTGCTCTACCCGAGACATTCACCGCCCCACACTTTCCAAGGCAAAAATAAATAACATTTATTTTACGGCTTCCGCTTTTTATCCTCCGGGCCAAGAGGCTGATGTAGTGGTTACTGCGTGAGAGTTGTCTAGATGTTGTAGACCACTTTCAAACGAAATCGCACGAAACTATGTCCAAATGGTGTTTGGATGCACATGTACTGCACAGGCTGTTTATTTCAGAAGTGTAACCCATTTGTTGTTATTATACACGTGCACAAATTATCACTGGTGACTCGTTTTGGCAGGTTACCGAGTTGACACATCCTCAGTTACTTGGCTGGGCTGAGGCGTGTCTTATCTACTGTACATAAGACACTTTCAGCTCTTTGTTTTAAAGGGACAGTTTAAGGGGTTCATATATTGTTTTTGGTCATCTCTGGGTTTCAAACTTGGCTTGAATTAGGTGTTTGATCCCCCCCACATACAGAGGCATATAATAAACGTGTTTTTATATCTACACCGCCTACAAAAACGGTATGAGATAACGTAGATTAGCTCCCTACTTATTTCACCTGATGATTAAACACACTAACGCTGCCTGTGAGGGGAGTTACATAGGTTAGCATTAGGATAAATCTTAAGATGAAATAAGCTGAGGGGCTAACCTTCACGTGATCCCATATACCGGGTAGTACAGACTCTATGCTCCAGCCAGCCTTTCATTCAGTGGGATGGAGCTCGTGTGACAGCTGGCGTTGTTGAGGTGGCAGGGTCGCCTTCACAACCTTCTGCGGCAACATGTTTGTTCCTATACAGTTTAGTCAGCGTGTTGTGTAATGATTATGATCGTTGTTTATCATTATTATTTTCATTATTGTTGCTATAACGAAATATTGTATGTACAGTATAGCACCATTATTGTATTCCAATATTCCTATAGACTTTACCTCATCATATTAATAATTAAAGTAATTCCATAGAAACAACGCACCTTAGGGTGGGGTTAAGATCAATGCTGACCTTAGCACCAGCCTCATCGGCGCCCATTGTGTTTTAAGATGAAATCCCTGCCACTACAATAACTAACCTTACCACTTAAACATTGGTAGTATGAATAGAACACATTATTATTATTATTATTATTATTATGCAAACAAAAACAATAATCGTGGATATTCTAGAAGATGTACAGAAAGTTTTGCATTAAAATAAAAACTCACAATATATTACCAAATTTATCCTAGGATAGTGAGATACGTTATAACTGGCGTGTGTTTGTGTACCTGACTCACAGCCATTCAGATTGCTTTGAAAACTAATTATAGAACTGCATAATACGGGTCTTTCATGTCTACTTAATTGGGACATGTTATTTATAAATCCTTGTCACAGGTTGTATAGAACAATAAATAGTACAGTATTTTTTGTGTTCTGGTTATTTACGCAATTAACATCACAGTGATAATGGTGTGATTGTTTATTTATTTGTTTTAATTGACAGTGAACGCGTATGTGGGCTTCCCTTGGTTTTCATAGGCCATCGCCTACTAATGCCCCAAACTTCTACCCCGACTGGCTAAATTTAACGTATAGAGGCGAATGCGAGAAAACTGTTATAATTGGCTATTCCCGTAATGCACAACACGGCCAAGGCGTCGAAAGTGTGTTGGGACCAAAGTAAAGTGGGATGAGTCTTTGTTGTTTAAATAAGAAATAAATGTTCGTTTACACATACATACAGACATACAGTACACTAGTAGCAACACTAACACTAGTACCAGCATCAACACTAGTACCAGTACCAGCTCTAGTACCAGCACCAACACTAGTACCAGCACCAATACTAGTACCAACACTAGTACCAGTAGCAAATCTAGTACCAGCACCAACACTAGTACCAGTACCAACTCTAGTACCAGCGCCAACACTAGTACCAGCACCACCAGTACCAACACTAGTACCAGTACCAACTCTAGTACCAGCTAGTACCAGCACCACCAGTAGTACCAGTACCAATACTAGTACCAGCACCAATACTAGTACCAACACTAGTACCAGTAGCAAATCTAGTACCAATACCAACACTAGTACACCAACACTAGTACCAGCACCAACACTAGTATCAGCACCAACACTAGTACCAGCACCAACACTAGTACCAGAACCATCAATAGTACCAGCACCAACACTACCAGAACCATCACCAGCACTAACACTAGTACCAGCACCAACACTAGTACCAGTACCAGAACCATCAACCAGCACTACCCAGCACCAACTAGTACACCAACACTAGTACCAGAACCATCACTAGTACCAGCACCAACACTATTACCAGCACCAACACTAGTACCAGAACCATCACTAGTACCAGCACCAACACTAGTACCAGTACCAACACTAGTACCAGTACCAACACTATTACCAGTACTAGTACCAGCCACTAGTACCAGCACCAACACTAGTACCAGACCAACTCTAGTACCAGCCCAACACTAGTACCAACACCACCAGTACCAACACTAGTACCAGTACCAGCTCTAGTACCAGTACCAATACTAGTACCAGCACCAATACTAGTACCAACACTAGTACCAGTAGCAAATCTAGTACCACCAACACTAGTACCAACACTAGTACCAGCACCAACACTAGTATCAGCACCAACACTAGTACCAGCACCAACACTAGTACCAGAACCATCAATAGTACCAGCACTAACACTAGTACCAACACTAGTACCAGCACCAACACTAGTACCAGCACCAACACTAGTACCAGTACCAACACTATTACCAGCACCACTAGTACCAGCACGAACACTAGTACCAACACTAGTACCAGCACCAACACTAGTATTAACACCAGTACCAGAACCAACACTAGTACCAACACTATTACCAGCACCAACACTAGTACCAGCACCAACACTAGTATTAACACCAGTACCAGCACCAACACTAGTACCAACACTATTACCAGTACCAACACTAGTGCCAGTAGCAACGCTAGTACCAATACCAACACTAGTACCAGTACCAACTATAGTACCAGTACCAACACTAGTATCAGTAGCAACGCTAGTACCAATACCAACACTAGTACACCAACAATGGTACCAGTACCAACAATAGTACCAGTACCAACAATAGTATCAGTACCAACACTAGTACCAGTAGCAACGCTAGTACTAATACCAACACAAGTACACCAACAATAGTACCAGTACCAACAATAGTGCCAGTACCAACAATAGTACCAGTACCAACACTAGTATCAGTACCAACACTAGTACCAGTACCAACACTAGTACCATCACTAGTACCCTTAACAAAACACACAAGTCACTTATTTGACATACAATCTCAGGATACTATATATAAAAATTACAATTAAGTGGTCGTCTGCTAGGTGAGGGAGGAGGAGGAGGTTTATGTGAAAGAGAAGTTGGGTGAATGATTATGGAATAAAATGTTCAGCGGAGAGTGAAACACGCCTCACCTTTTTGTGGTGGGTTCCGTTCAGCTGAGTAGCAAGTCTGCCCTAGGGAGGAGCTTCTTGGTATTGGTATTTTTGGAAGAGGTTCTCCTGGAGGTGATGTAGACGATTTTTGGGGGTGCGTCCTGCCCTTCCTTAGTATACTGACTCGTTCTGGAGGTGCCGAGAGCAGTGTACACACGCGCCAGGTGCTGGTGGTAGATGGCGCGGGTGTTTATGAGTGGTTCTGGTTGATTTGGTGTGGGTGTAGGCTGTGGGAGGTGTGTAAGGCAAGCGTCTCCCTGCACGGCGACGGCAACGAGCGCTACTAACACCACGGGACCCACAATGGTGGCACCTATAAGCGACACTAAGAAGAACTGGATCCTGAAGAGAGGTAGATTTAAGCTCTTCTAGTACTACTGGATCCTAACACTGCTACCACTGGCATCCTACCCAGAGCGTTTATCGTTATCTCTATTTGAGCATCCGCTAGTATATCGAGGTGCGTCCACTCTAGTGTCCTGTGTTTGACGGTGTAACACCCAAATAATATATATCCACCTCCAACACGCTTCGAATTGTGCTGTATTGATCGTCAACTGTCCGCGCGCCTATCTGGGTTGCCAAATGTCTTACTAGACGGAAAAGGAATCAGTTAAGTACGTTTTCTGTAAAAAAAAAAAAAAAAAAAAGAATGAAAAATTACTAAAATTATGTTGACGTGTACTAGCTTGTCCGTGGCGAGATTATGAGAGAATTATGTTCATTTGACGATTTGGTAACTCAAAGTGTGTGCGGTCATGTTACTAAAGGCGGGAAAATAATTCTCCCCCTCCTCTCTCTTCCTAGTCCTACACACACTACTAAGTGTTGTTTTTTCCGTCTACGATAAAGTTGGAACATCGCCTAGTAAATTTGGCTAGTCTGGTGATTGTGGCGGACGTGTTTCTATATATTAAACTTCGAAATTATTGTAAAAATGTTGCTGTTAATGAGTGTAATAAGTTATAATAACTAATACTATAATGGAAGCGTTATTATGTTTAACTCTGGTTGTTGGCGAGTAGACTTCAAACTAGACATTTCGAAAATTGAGAAATTGTTTGGGCATTGTGTCCTTGTATGCGGCGCTTACAACTCTGTATTACCTCTATGTTAATTTTGTTCATAATTCATTTATTTATTAACAAGCAACAATGTTCAGAATTTCGTGCTAGCGCACAGACGTAACACCAATTACTTAACTAAATACAGTAATCACATCTCTCAACTGACAAATTTGTTAAACATTTGTTATATCTTAACAGATGCTAAATGAAATAACAGTGGATGAGTTTCATTCCGAGTCTTCATCATTACAGTTGTTACCGTAGAAAAATAAAACAGGAAACTGTCCATTGTAACGCAACTGTTACGGTCAGTTGGGACATCCTTAATCAATTTACTACCACTAAAATTTACTTACAACAGTTACAAATTAATACTGTCATTACGACCAATACATGTACTTAATAATGATAATTTTGATGCAACAAGAGATGTGTTATATAAGTTAATGGTAACGAGAAAGATCGTCATTGGTCTTTATACCCTGGTTATACTAAATGACAGCAGGTATGTATATTATATACAGTATATTGTCAACTGATACCGTACGTCTGTCTGTACGAAATAGTTGCATCTAGAAATTATCCTGTCACTTTATAAATACTGTATCTCTTATGGCACTATAGTGTAACTGTTATTGTACACAGTAAGTATGCACATAGTTCCTTTCTCTGTTATGGCAGTAGAGTTGCTTTCAAGCACGTGCAGGGGATAGTTTATTGGGCATCCATGGCCGGCACCAGGGTATTCAACTCCCAGGCATTATGTATATTTATGCCATGACCCACCCCACAGTTCTGCACCCCACATCCATTTTCCCCGCGGTCCTAAAACCTTCTAAAAGTACAATTATAATACTCTATTGTCTCGGCGAGATATTTATTCATAACTATCGTAAATTTAATTTCACCTCACGTTTTTTTATTATCGTTCCCCTGTATTTAAGTTACAAGTCTTACAACTAACCTGCACGCTGGACACATGGGTCGGCAGTATCTGCTGTAGTGCACTGTGTAGTGTGTAAACACAGTGACGTCACGTCACTGAAGCATTCATTATTAAGGAAATTTTCCCCACTTAACAATGGATGTTTGCTTCTGTTTTATTATTATTTGAAATTTAGGCATAATATATTATTCACTATTTTAAATTTATAAAAGCTGTCGTCTGTTCGCCTATTTGGATTGTTTAGATTTTATAATTGACGTACAGTATTATGTCAGTATCTGTGGTATATGCGAGATTTTTTTTTCTAGCCAATTTTTGCGGCCCCAGAGTTCTTTTCCCGAGGTGACTGCCTAGTTCCCCTAATGGTCGCACCGGCCCCTTGGGCATTATGTGCAGGGCGATGCACAAAGGCTTCGCCCTCATAGGAAGCAGCAGAGTTTAGGCTTGCAAGTGCCTGTACAGCGTGGTAAGTCCCTAATAATGTGAAGTGCCGTTTTGTGTGTTCTTTTTAACGACCCTCGTTGTCCAGTGTTAATACAGGAGGAAACTGGAGTACCCGGAGAAAACTTGCGATGTATGGTAGGGTCACACTGGATAGTATGCCACTCATCTGACTAATAAGGCCGGTGTCATTCGACAAATCTTCCGGTGCGAGAAACCTTCCGGTTGCATAATATGCGCATGCGCAAGTTTTGCCAGGAAATTCTGTCGCACGTTCTGTCGCTCTTCCTGGTAACATGAAAACTGTTCGGTATTGAAAGAAAATTTATATTTCTGATGAAGAAATTTTTTCATAACACTACAAAACCAAGGCGGAAGAAATATCGCAGGAAATCTTATGACCTTGGTGCGAATGCGTTGAGTTCTCCGGGAAGGTTTGTCGCACGACACTGGGAACTGAACCCTGGACATAAGCCGAGAAGCAAGTGTGGCACTGCTGTACCACCACCTTGCAGTCTTGCTTACACTATCAGTTATCTCGTATTGGCGGTTTCCATCTCCGGTTACTGCGTCATAGTGTAGTGTGTGATTTCCCTTATTTTTAGATTCCCCCAGTGTCTGGAAGGTCACACATTGTGCGGTGTTTATCAAAGGTTTGAGGTTGGAAATTTTGAGGAAGATGGCGAGCGTGGTTTCTTTATCTTCCTGGGTTGCTTCTTTTGCAAGTTTTCAACAGTGTCTCAGGCATTTTTAAGTGTGACGGGATCCAGAGAAACTTAACATGAATGTTATCATTTATCAGTCTCCTATAGCGGCTAGCCCAACGATGGCGGTGAGGGCGTGTCGGACGGCCGGGAAGAAGGGGGTGATTTGAGCCTTGCTAGCGCGGAATTACTGTTTTCCGATGATGAGGTTCCGCCATTCTGTGCGGGCATAGGTAGCGCCGTCATGGACGCCCGCAAAGATGGCTATGGTCTGAGTGTGTGTGTGGAGGAGACCTAGTCATGGACCCTGATTTTCCTGTGAGCCTGGCACTCAAGGATCCACACCGCTGCTTCGTCTCTTCCCAGGGTGTCAACAGATCCATCACAATATACAAGTAGAGGAGGGAGAGAGGTCATGGCATCATCAATATTTTCTAGGCAGATGAGTATGAAGCTCTTTTAGGTGGATTTCAGATCACTGTGGGGAACGTCCATGGCGGGAGAGGTCGTGGAGTGCAATCGAAAAGAAGATCGCGGCGCTGGTGTAGAGATGATACCGTATCGTAGAATGTCGGTGGCAGTGTGGGTAGTTCCATGGTATTTAGGCCATGGGTAGGCCAGTGGGGTGAGGGAGGTGGGGAGGGGGGTAGCACAAGGAATGTGTTGAGGTGTGAGGGCAGTGAGCGTGGCAGGGGAGGGGAAGGGTGTAGGAGGAATTCGGTTTAGTTACTGTACTTTTTCTTTCCGCTTCCAATTTTTATTCCATTAATTGTGATAAGCTTGTCATACATTATAGATTGTGTCATGTGTATAAACTTTGTCATGTCTTTAACTTGACTATGAATTAACTGTGTCATAATTAACTGTCTTGTCTTTAATTATCATAAAATGTCATGTCATTAAGTCTTATCAGTAACATATTGTTAATTGTCTTAAGATACTTGTAAGGCATATGTAAATTTCCCATGTGTTATTAACTTTGGCTTACATCAATAGCTTAACAGATGTCATTGATACCATGTGTCATTAACTTGTGCCATCATGCCTTGTCATATATCATAAACTTAGTTACATAGAAATAACTACATAATCTTTCAGTAGTTAACTTACCATGTCACCAACTCTAGAGTAATGCCGGGAGTAGTGACGTCACATTAGCCGACAGTGCCACCATGTTCCAGCTGGCAAAAGTGGCACACAAGGTACTTTATTTGGCACTGTCCATGATCTGGCACTGACTCACCTGGCACTGTCCATGATCTGGCATTGACTTACCTGGCACTGTTCATAATCTGGTATTGACTCACCTGGCATGGTCCAGGATCCAGCACCGACTCACCTGGTACTGTCCATGACCCGGTACTGACTCATCTGGCACTGTGTGTGGTGGTGTAGTGTGACAGGTGTGGTGGTGGTGTAGTGTTTACAGATGCCACATAGTGTAAGTCACATGGTGAGTGCTGGTGTCATCTGTGGTGCCAGTGTAATTAGACAGGTGTGGCTAGGCAAGGTGTGAAATGGTGTTACTTAGCACACTTGTTGCATGTATTTGTCATATAATGCAGGTATTTTTTAATATAGGCTACAGGTGTTGAATGAAACAGATGTCACATAAGGTGCACCCATCACATTACAGTTTTCACATATGGTACAAGTTTAACAGTTGTGTTGTTCTGACAGATGGAGGCTCAGTTTCCAGCAACACACACCACAGAGACGGCACCACAGGACAATGCTGAAAATAAACGCATCTACATCAACAGGGGCTACATGCATACTAATGAAGGTCGCCTCAAGATTGTCCACATGGTGAGTGAGTGGTGATATTGGTGTTTGGTGGATGTGATGATGATATTGGTGATGTGTGGTGGATCTGATGATGGTACTCGTTTGGTGGATGTGAATGATGATGGTGATGTGTGGTAGTGGTGCGTGGTGGGTAGTAAAGTTAGTAGTGATGAATTTTAGTATTGACACAGTAGCATGTAGGTGGATTTGGTGATGAGAGTCGGTGGGTGCTGGTGAGAAGTGATGACTGAAGGTTTGTGGATGTATTTACAGAATTTTGGTACTGGTGGTACAGTCGAAGATAAAATTCGTGTTACACTTACCGTGCCTTTTAGTGAATCACTTTTTACTCTGACTGCTTTATCCTCAAAGCAGCCCCACTTACTTAATATTAGAAGAACACAAACACACTAATTGAATGCATAAAGATGTGATACAGTTTACGTGTGGAGGGAGGAAATCCTTAGAAAGACCCTTGAATAGTGGTAATGTACAGTAGATACGAGGCTCTCTAGCAAAAAGTAAAAAGGTGACAAAATTAAAAGAATGGCAGAAAAGGCAGTTAAAATCTAGAGGTGAATTTGAAGATTATAATGGAATAAAAAAAAAACATCTCGAGCTGCTTTGTTGTTCTCGCCCAGTAGCACCACATATAGAATAACACAGTGGGGTGAGGGAGAGGCAGCAGACCAGTTGAGAGTTGGGCTGAGTTAGTAATTTCCTTTGTTATGGTGATGGAGGAGGAGTATGTTGCAGGAGTTTCCTCATGGATTAACAAGACATAATACTCAGTAAAGAAGAATTGGAGATGGAAGCCTCATTGACAAATCAACTTAGCAAGTAAAGTGATTAGTTATCAGGTATTTAAGCAATGTAAGTCTGGATTTAAATTGTGTTACTCACCATTAATTGGAGATGGGGTGATTTATTGTGCTTACTTATGAGGTATTTGTTCATGAAATTGACACCATATGCTGTAGCCGAGAGTGCAAAATGATTGATAAATACATATATACTGTATATAGATAAAATGATACAAAGAATGGCAATGGTACATGATTGCTGGACTAATGTGTTATTGTGACAAACTTTAATGTTTTATAGGTGGTATGTATAGTGGTGTTCATCTGTGTCATGGCCTCAGATTTCCCCCGGAGTAGCCCAGCCAACTGGATCAGCTTTGTGGCCATGAGTGGCTTTTGGACATCTGCAGTGCTCCTGTTCCTGTTTATTATAAATGTTGTGGCCCTGTTGTCCATCATACCTTGGTTCATGCTGGTAAGAATAGTTGCATGCCAAAAAAGGTGTTGTACAATACAGTACTGTATATCCATACTCGTACATTATTAAGTGACCCCCTGGCTCACTAAACTTCAGCCATACTGTATCTGTTTTACTGTTTCTTTATCTTGTTTTTAAATGGTAAACTTCCTTTTCCTGTTTTTCTTGAATGAACACTTGTTCCTATAGTGAAAGGTTATTGATTTTGTGTGTACAGTATGTGTGACAGTGGATTCCTTTTAGATGCAACTTCTCCGATGGGATACATTGTGTTAGTTGTTGACTATGGAGAGGAATTAATTAAACTTTGGAGAAGATAAATTAGAGATGCCTCTTGGGTGAAGGTTCATACTTTGATGAACAAGTTTTTGTTAATCTCATCTTCAACATATCACAGTATCTTTATTTGTTCCTCATGCAATAGTGAGTGTGTGTGGATGTTTTGCAGTGCTCTTTATTGAACGACATTAAGATACTGTACTTACTTGAAAAGTATTTGTTATATTTGCAGGAGTTTGGCTACACGGTTATATGGACATTCTTCTGGTTTGTGTCAGGATGTGTTGCTGCCGACTACACTGTCCGTGGGTGAGTACAGACTTCCTTCTCTCTGCCATTGACAAGAATCAGTTCATTATGTAGACTCCTTAAGAGCCCATATGTTAGACTATCAACTGGGATCAGGTACATTAGTATTATTTTTTAATGAAAGAAAGAGGCTGTTTGCAGTGATCTTGTCTAATAAACACTACTGGGACCAAGTTACAGGACTGAGTGTATCAAGTAACTTCATAGACTATACGGTAATATATATATATATATATATATATATATATATATATATATATATATATATATATATATATATATATATATATATATATATATATATATATATATATATATATATATATACACAGTGGGGTATGCTATAACGAATCTAATTGGTTCTAGAACCTTGTTCGTTATAGGATTAATCCGTTCCAGGCCCCCAAATACAACCACTTAACACTGAAAAATATAATATAAAATTGTAAAAAAGTGCATAAATATGCATCTAAACCCCTGAAATAAAGAATATCATTAATACTTGTAATAAAAAACAATAAATTATTAATAAAAAAAAAATTAAATAATGTTCGTTGTAGGAGTTTCGTTCGTTATAGCATTCTCAATTTTATATATATATATATATATATATATATATATATATATATATATATATATATATATATATATATTATATATATATTATATATATATACATACAGTATATATATATATATATTGAGGATTTTAAGTTGGGATGATACAAATTTTTGTGCCTGTGGACACATCTTATTTGTATTCTTTACACATGTTCTTGACCACAAGTAATACATAACTTCTATTTCCAGGGCTGGAGATGCTTTTGCTGTAGCTGCATTCTTCAGCTTTGTTGCCATGTGTATATATGGGTTCACTGCATTTTTATTTTACAAGAAGTTTCGTGAAGGAGGCTTCAAATTGCCTTTTGTTGTTAGGACTTCATCTGGCATCTCCAATGCAGACCCCAGGGCTGCTTCTTCTACTACCACCACCACCACTACTACTGTTATACAGGAAAAGTATTAAAAGTATTGCAACAATAAATAATTGAAGAAGTAAAATGGTTGTAATTTGGTAGATATGTTTTAAAGAGGACGCCAAGTAGTGTTTGAAATCTCCCAGTTAATTTTGTCTTTGTTTTGAAGCATCTATTTTTAGTTGAGTAAATGAAGCTCATTGCAGTCCATCTCATTGTAGTAGTACCTCAGTTGTGTGGAAATTCAAGCAAATTACAAACCAATTTGAGAATATGTACATGGGGGACTTGCCTGATCTGTTTGTGTTTTTGAGATAGATACTGTAAGCCGGTTATGTGTGAGCACTCAGTAGTGACAGGGTATTGGTGACCTCAGAATTGTTCCAAGCCTTATGGTGCCACATCCTTATCACTACCACATTTCCATAGAAGGTTGTGATATAGAGAGGGAGGGAAGGGGTAGATTTATATGCATGAGTTTATTTTTGTATGTAGTCTTGCTCGTGTGTGTGGGTATGAGCACAAAATAAGTACAGTATTGCATAAATAAGTATACACACAGTGCTGGTGAATAAGTACCCTTTTTGTTCTTAGATATTAATAATTTATGAGGAATTAGGTTGTCTACTGGTGCTCCATCTCATATTAGTTTGTATTTTAGCTTACTTAAGATTTTCAGTACATAAAGCATTTATTATTATGTTGTTCTTATCATCCACTTTTCTGTTACAAATACAGGTATATTTTATGGTGTTTGGGCTGATAGTTTTCTTTTTAATTCTTGTTGTGTCTTGTGCCATATTTTTCTATAGGACCAGGAGCAGACCAGGTTGTCTGCCCCTTTGTTAACTCTTTCACTATGGCTGGTACAGTATAGGGTTTCTGCCTTCAAATTTGACAGACATTTTAATTATGACAGGCTTAAGTGGCAATCCTTCGAGTATTACCATACAATATGAATTTTTTTTGTGTGTGAATGAGTCGTCGCGTTTCATCATTGAAGGAGAGTGTACAATATGATTATGCTGTCACTGCCTCAGTTTCAGTGGCATGGCAAGACACTGCTATTTAGCATAATAATCAATGCATTAGAATCTTATCTTCACCTGAAAATTAACGTATAATTTTTTTTTGTTATACAAAGCCACTGATAAATCATAGAAAAATTTTTAATACACTGAAGAGAGACAAATTTCTGTCATGCGTCTGGCATTGTAGCTTGAGCTTCACCCTGCGCCAGAACATGTGTAATTACACAACACACTTACCAGGCGGGTGCCTGCATCCAGACAAGACCCACATATTCTTGATAATGAGTAAGTACTCTATTTGTTTACATATTCAATAATAGTACTGTATAAATAATTTATATACTGTACAGTATATCTTAAAACTGTCTCCCAATGGGTAGGCCAGCTAGTTATACTGTCATAGTGAAAGTGTCAACACCAGTGGTTATTAAATATTGCCTTCACATCCATTCCCATTTAAGAACTGTAGACTCACCTCAGGGTCTGTCAGACCTATTTATCATAAGGCTTCCTTTCAATGACTTTTTTGAAGTTTTGTGCCTTTTGAGTGGTTAAGAAAATTTGTGATTTGTTATCTTTGGATCCAATGAATTAATAGTCATGACATTTAAAATATAGACTTGTACCTGATAAAACATATGGTCATGGTATGATTTCTATGCCAATCCAAACTTAGCTTTTAATTTAAATATCTAAGTTGTAATATAACAATAATGTATACTCTGCTGTCAACAACACCCTAACCTAATTCTGATCATGGAATCCATTACTGAGGTCTACATAGTTATTCTGCTGACTCTTATCCTTGTCTTATAAGAAAAGGCAGATTAGATCCTTCCTGGTCCTTCATAACTATACAAGATCAAAATTTTCCTGTACAGGTAAGATTATTACAGCACTGTACAGTAAATCAAATGCACTTATGATCCAAATACTTACATTTGTGGCCCTCTAGTAATCTTCTCTAAACCTTTCTTAGTTGTAATATTGTTTCTCTGATGCCTTCATTATTTCTCTCCATGTAAGTTACTTTTACCCCATGGTTAGTATTGGTTGAAGGGGTTTTGGTGTCACCCATGACATAATTCTATAGTACTGCATAAGTCCATTACTCTGTGGAGAGAAAGTCATATTGGTTTTAGTCATTGGATCGCAAGTCAAGATCACTGGCTAAAGATAGAATTTTGGTTTCTAGACAAAAATGTTGTGTGATTTTTGCACTGAACATATTTCTTAAATACTTACCCTTCCTTGCCCTGCCCCTAGGGAGAGAGATGTATTTGTGATAAAACATAAATAAATAAGAATAAATAAAATAAAAATACTGTCACAGCAGGGCAATTTTGTCTCAAATACATTTCTTATTTACTGGATACCTAAGTTAACTTTTTCTCTTAATTTCTTGGTTAGTATCTACTTTTTATTCTTATACAGTACTGTACAGGGTATATGGAACTGTTCAAAAAATTAAACAGTACAGGAATTTGAGGGAAATGAAATTCAAATATTGTGTGTACTGTAAGATATTTCATTATTATGAAAGGATATCTATATTTGTTTGATAACTTTAGTGATGAAATTAGTCAGGCTCTTAATTCTCATTCTCTGTGTGTGTTTCTGATGTTATGCATTAGAAAATGCAATTTATTTTTATTCCATAATTCCATAAAAAAATAATGTGAAAAGAAAATGTATACAGTATAGTACACCATATATATTTTGTACTGTACAGTACCCTGTAGTTGTAAAGAAAGTTATGAAAAGAAGAAAGCATTTGCTGCCATTATGGCATCGGAGTTTGAAGTGTTATCAGGGACTGGTTTGTTTTGGTAAAGTTTGGAGGAGGAAGACGTTTTGAAAGTGGTTGGAAGTAAGATTAAAGTCCTGGTGTATGAAGGAAGACAAGTTAGCAGTGCCTTGTAAATATTAATTAATGAAAATAAACTTGGAATATTAAAAAAAAGTGTTTGATAATTAAATGAATCCACAAAGCTTTCAGCAGTAGATAACTGTGTATGAATAATCTAGCTGTGACCATTATAAGAAACAAGGGGATTAGCATGGGTGAAAAGTGATGTGAAATAGATAAGTTGGAAGAAGACTTGTGTTTAAAAGTGAAAGATTGAATAACTAGAAGAGGTTCATTGACACACTTAATGAGCAAACACTGCTCATGAAGGAGTGTACCATAGTACAGTACAATACTGTATATACCTTATTTCACTCAAACTGAGCATTATAGATGAATGTAGAAACGTTATTTGTGAGGCTTTGTGTACTTGTTTCACTACATACAGTTCAGGTTGTATAATATATGAGGTGCGTACAGCCAGAGTGGACAAAGGCTCTGGAAGTGTCAATATGGTCGATTTTGCTATTACCGGGTAAGTAAAACTACCCGGGCGTTACTACATGTGGGCCTGGCAGTGAGTGTGGCAGATCACTGAGAGGAAAGCGGCAGTGGTCACATTTTTTCTGGCACTTTGTTCACTATAGTTGTACGCACCTCATGTCTACTGTATATATATATAGTTTTTATTTTTAATATTGTCTGCTGTGAACTGGCTGTCCCAAGTTCAAGGTGTTGGTGTTTGTCTAGGAATGATACTGTACAGCAGTTGTACTGTGTTGGCAGTGTGATGCAGTGTGTTCCTGGAAATTTTATCCTTGTTTAGGATTGAACATGACAGAACAAATAACTTGGTGTACAGTACAATCCTGGTGGCTCACTGCAGCAACAGCCTTACTGATTCATCCATCTAAGAAATATATAGTTTAGGTGGGAATCTACTGCAGTACAACAGTGCCTTTGTATAGCCACAAAACTATTTTCAAACTTGGGAGTAAGTTAAGAGAGAATCTGTTTTATGTTCAGTTAATGTAGTTAGGAATAGTTTACAGTACTTGTGCATGTAATCTATAACAGCAAATGAATGGCAGGTGGAAGTCATTAACCTAATGTCTGTTCATTGGCTCACTTATTCCTCAATAACAGTGTTGTTAACATGGTGTATGTTGCTGGGAGATATACAGTCGGCCCTCAGTATACATGGTGGTAATGTTCTTGAAAAACAATGTGCAAAGATAAACTATGTTAAAAAATACTGAAAAAAAAGGTTCCAAGCTCACACGATGACCTCCCTCATTGATCCAATAAGGTTATACACACAACAAAACATTACTTTTCACTATACTGTACACACATTCGACTCATGTCAGCCATAAGCTCTAGCCACAGATGATAAACCTTCACCCTTAGCAAACTTGTCCAGCGTCACTCATTTATGTACCAAAGTCCTCTTTTTCTTTTCTTTTTTAATGATTCTTCACACAAAATATTTTAACACTTTCACATGATTTCCTCTTTCAGCTTGTGTTAAACACTTAATGTGGGTGATAAATTTTGGGTAAAGGCAAATGGACTGCACAGTGTTTACTCAACAATGGCAGACTAAACTAACGGGCATAAGGTAGTGTGTGTGGGCTTGGGTGATGTGAGGTTGTGTGCATAGGTCACATGATGTGCATTTACAATCAATTTGTAATATAGTAAGATGTATAACATCTTGCCTGAAAACAATAAATTACAAATAGAAATTACATTTATCAAAAATAATAAAATGTATAAAGTAGAAATAACTTTTCTAGATTTTAGTTATTGCTTTTAAATGTTTACATTTATTTAAATAACTAAACAAATTGGAAGAAATTGTATTCTTATTACATTTTGAATAGTATTAAATAAATTATTTGCTATAAATAGTAAGTGACTTGCTGTTTGACTAATATCAATATTGAAGTACAGTACAGTACACACCAAAACTGAAAATTTGCTGTGTTTAATTTCAGCAACACCTGATGCTTGAGGTTCTTATCACTGATCTGTGAACAATGGCACATACAAATTAGTCCCACACTACTTTTAAATAAGAATAAGAAATGTAAAAAGTAGCTTTTTTTTTTTTGCTAAACTTCTACAATACAGTAAGTCCTTGCTTAACGTCGTGGTTCCGTTCCTGAAAACTGCACGTTAACAGAATCAATTTTCCCCATAAGAAATAAATAAGATACAGGAGTTACATTCCCCAGCCTCCCTTTGACCCATAAAATACATTACTGTACTTTAAATTCAATGAATTTTTTATAGAAAATAGTACAGTATATATTATACATCCAAAAAGATAAATAAACAAAATCATTTTGTATTGTACTCACTGATGGGTGGAGGTGGAGCGAGTGTGTGGTGGGTAGTGGAGAGGAGGGTGGCGAGTCACTGAGACCCGGAGGGTGGCTCCTCCTGGGTGAGAGAGGGTGATGTGCCGTACAAAGTAGTCCATGACTACGTTATACTGAACCGGCGGGACGTTGTCTAAATCATGGGTATCTAAAGAGTAGCGACATAACAAAACAACGTTGTAGGGGGCAACGTTAAATGAGGACTTACTTTATTTAATAACAAGTACGTATATAGTCACTTGAAAAATATTGTAATTAGTTACAAATAGATCACTGCAAAACTGTTACTGTAATCAATGACAAATGCTCGCTACTTGCCCAACACTGGTGGCACTGAACTTTCCATTGTACTGTGTGTAAGTGAAACCTAGGAGAATTTTGAGGGCCAACTGTATGTTTACCACACTGTAGTCGAATCATTTCTTGTCTTGAAGAAACTCATAAAAAATTCTCTACTAATAATTGTATGTCTTCACTTAGCTATTTCTTGTGTATATATATATATATATATATATTTTTTGTTTTGCTATTTAATATTATTTTGTAATATATGTTAAATTAATGATTGACAGTTTATTATACAGTATAGTCTTCATTTACTCGGTCAATTGAACCCGTGGAGGTCCGCGTAAAACGAGAAACTCGTAACGAAATAACAAACATATGGGATTAATTGAAATAAAGACTGGGCCGACCCCCAAACTACACTTTTTCCGACACAAAACGTACGTTGTAGTAAAAATAACATCTTAAATTTATGATGGTATGCACACACAATTAATATTTAAGAGAAATATCAAAAATATTAGGTTTTTTAACACTTACGTTAGTAGAAAAGATGGCTGGGCACACGGGGATGGGGGGTTGGTTCCAAGGCAGAGGGCAGATTATTGACCCTCACTTGTATCACTATCCACCACAGAGGCTTGCAGGTCCTTTGTCAAACCCCTCAAAGTCCATATCCTCACTATCACTGACTTGGGCTGGCTGTGGTGGGTGGCAGGTGAAGAACTCGGTAATGTTTTGTTGACTGGGCGACCTTGTGCGCACCCTGCCCATGTCACTTCCCACGTAAATGATGGAATGAACCGTGTAAATAAAAATTGTCGGTCTGGCAAGGTGCCGCGTAAATGACCAAATGTGTAAACCAAATCTGCGTAAATCGAGACTACACTGTACTGTTAAGTACAGTAATATTATAAATATTCTCATTTTATTCCATTCCCACTAATGCACTGGAGGTCCACTCCTAAGATAACAGTGGTTGGCTGTGAAATTATCCTGCTAAGAGCCACTGGCATCAACCCACAACATTGGCTGAACACGAGTTTTTGTTAAGCATCCCACTCTTATAACCTCATGCGAAGAAATAATGACCTGTGTAATATATTCGGTTTAAAAAAAAAATCCAAGAATCTTTCAAAAATTCTATGTTCTGATTTCTAATCAACTGAACAATTCTCAAGTCACCTTGTGGAGTGGAGAACGTACATCATTGTTCAAAATCGATTGTAGTTTCCTGGTAATTTCATCATAATTTCTATGCTATTATTTGTAGTATCAGTACTTCTACATTATTTTTACCATCTCAGTAGTGTAGTGGTTAAAGCATTAGTGTTCTGCTTTACTGGCCCACGTTCAATTCCAGGGCAGAACTAACAGGTTCCCACAACATGAGGTCAGCCTGTGTACAGGCATTTGTTTATTGTTATACATAATACAGATGCAACAGAGTACAGTACTATAAATATTTATAAAATCCCAATAAACATACAGAGGGTGTCCTCAATGTTGTAAATGTGTTCGGAGTAAAATGACAATAAACAGATCAAGTATTCCCATAAGAATTAATGTACCGGTAAATGGGGGGGGGGGCTAGGGTCCAAGGTAACTTTTCACCAGACTGAAGTTCATTTACACATGTCAAAGCTTTAACAAAAGACATAGTATATAGTATATTATGTGAAAAAGTTTAAACAAGCAACATTATAAATGATGATTGTGGGGAATGTATTGTACACGGGAAGACTTGTAACTTAGCACCCAACTGATAGATTCCCTGGTCTTCTTTGTGGTAGGCATGACACTATAAATTCCAGGGCACTTTGCAATCACCCTGGGATAGATCATGGTATGTGAAGAGAAACAATAAAGGAAATACATAAATAAAAAAAATTGCAATGCACAAACACTAGCTACTGAGCACAATGTAAATTACTATGCAGATTGAGGCAGCACTCTACATCACGAAATACAGTACAGAAGTTGTGCTCTAGCAGACAACAGCCAACGATGGTATAACAGAACATGATTTTATACATACAAGACTTAATTCATCAGCAACGCTAATCAAAGTGAATTAATATGAAAACAAAGTACTGTACTTAAAATGGCTATAAAATAATTTTGTTCCTGGTAAAACACTACATAGAAACAGGTAAATCCAGACCTTCCTTTTCCCAAACTTAATCTTATTTAATGGGTGTTTACTGTGTATATTCTCTATATAACAGAGGAATAAAATAAATTATACAGCAGGACTGCAAATTTTATTAGCTATGATTATTAAAATATAATGTGGGTAAATAATAAACAGAAGAGTAAATATATATAAAAGCATTGTTGGAGGGTACACAGAAGATCTAGTCCAGAAAGATTCTTCAATGATGTACCCTGTGCCATGGCTAAAACATTTGAACAAGTTTCCAGGTGATTCAGAACCAATGCAAGTGTGAGATAAAGTTACCTTACTTGCGTCCAACTACCATATGTAAGTACAGTATCAAACTTTGGAGACTATTCTCAAGGTAGCACTCGGCAACACAGCAGGATTCTCATTCACAACCACCCATTGCTAATATAACATACGTACTTAAGCCAGGAAAATCCTAAACCAATTTTAAAGCAAATTACCTTGTACTCTACATTCTATCAGTGCTTACACAACAGTAACATTCTAGTTTATGTAACACAATTCATCACAACATTCCTTCACCTCATGATGAAAGACATTCTACAACAGTACTGGTAACAAAATGTTATAGTATCAATCTCGTAAAACAAGTTATAGAATGTTTAATGTATACAACAGCAGATGCAACTAATTAACTTGACCATCTTATAAACTACTATGGAAAAATTGGTAATGTGCAGCATAGTACAAAAATTTGGGTTATACAGAGCAATTTACGAAATATAATCATGTGGAAGATGCGAAAGTATCACATACATATTGAAGTAATGTAGTCACACACACCATTCTAAAATGTTACATGAAACACATTATTGTTATCAGAATCATGCTTTGGTCACAATCATTAACAGCATCCCACACTAACTTGTCATTCATCTAGTCACTTACGCTATCTTGTGAGAACTTGTCAGGTATACATACTTTCATCGTCTCATACAACATGCCACAGTTTTATGAACATATAATTTGCTTTGCTACATTACCCATGTAAACCATCAAGGATCAACACTAGGATTTTAAGCTTCAGCTCACCAAATATGGTAACAGTATATTCCTATATTTTCAGTGCCACAGTAAAATTCTTATTAATCAAGCTTCAAAATTCATAAAATTAATATTGTTTGTCATTCATACCAGCCTTTCCTGCTACGATGCATTCTGTTTTAAGTTGTCTCCAACAGGTAATCTTTACTAAATAATTAATGATACAGAAGATATTAGAACATTGGATTAGATTTTGTTATCTCCTACATGGTTCACACATACAATTGTGCAAGATGCATAATTTACATGAAAAATCACTCCAGTAGTTTGCTAACCTTGGTTTTTGGATTATAATGATACCAAGAGTCAGACAACCCCAAGACCTGCTGCCCTGATACCTTCTCTCTAGTCCATGCAAGTTACATCTACAAAATAAAGAAATAGGAGACGTTGAGTTTCTGAAACACACGTCTCCACTGGTTGAAAACTCTTTATCAAATAATTCAAGGAAACCCACAAAATTTCCTCTCTAGTTTCTGGATATTTTTTGCCTCATCTTACAAATAATTTTGGGTGGTTCACATGGACAGACACGACAAAACAACATTCCCCCAGAACATGGAGTGAAGGTTTACTGGCTTTGGGCCTTCACATGAAAAGGCAGATTGGCCTTGCAAACAACATAATAAAGACTCCTCTCACTGACACTACTTGGCCACAAGGGTTCACCAACATCTCAAAGAGTCTGGGATCTTGAGTGTTAGTTATCACTGTCCATAAAGATGAGGCATACTACTTTGTAATGACTTTCAGTAAGAGACCACTAACAAAATGGTCAAAGTACGAGATGTTCGAGTGATAAAATACAATAATGTTTCACATGGATAAAAAAAATACAATGGCAATCAAGGCCCTTTACTGCTTTAAGACCAGAAAACTCCAAGATAGAGCAGCTTTGATCTTAACCACGCTGATTGCTGGAGGTTCCACCGTACTACTTCCAGCAATTAAGATTTCTCAAAATGAAGACCTTTGAAGAATTTACCTGGTAGTATCTTCCTTTCAGTAATCAACTTAATATAGTTACTTCCAGAAAAGTTTAAGTAAAGCGCAGCACTCGTAGGATTTACAATGCAAAGTACAGTATTTGAAAATTAAATAACATATGAACCTCAAACTGAACCTAGTTAAACTTAAATACCACAGTATTAGCCACACAAACCATAATAAGGCACAGTGACATACATTACTGTTAGCAAAGAAGCTAAATAAAAACCACTGCAGCTAATTCTCAGGGTCAGTACCACTCAGAAATGTTAGACTAACATGGGTCTGATTTTCACTGGTTTGGAAGCTATGGTTGGATGTAAAAATATGCAAGTGAAGATGTTCTGATACTTTAAGGTTTGCATAGTGGTTACACTGTAGCTTTAGTGGGAAGACAACGCTGAGGAAAAAGGAGGCGTCGTAGGACCCGACGCTGAGTGGCAAAGTGCGTGGTATGGTATTGGAGATTGCTGGCCACTTCGCCTTTGGGCTATTTCGGCCGAACAAAGTGCGTCTCTCACCCGTAGTTAAATACCTACTAATAGTTGCGTACCTGTTGTGAATCGGACTCCTGTTCATATGACATTTCTGATTGGTAATGACCTCAGGAATCAGCTGCTGAATTTTGGCAGTCATGATACATCTTGTATAGTATGGATAGCTCCACCTCCACCACAACCAGCCAATTAACACTTAGCAAAGAAGCACACAGCTCAGTGGTCACTTGTTCTACACACAATAATCATGTAATTTATTCACAATCCAAATTATTTATCAGTCAAAAGGTAATGTGTTTCATTTCTAATCTACAAAGTTAATATCAAAGAAATTTATGCAATTTTTTTTTCAATTTTAATTCACCTTTATACTCAGGTATGACCTGACTGATACACAAATAAAATGACAGCAGAAAATAAGACTGGTATCAATTAACTTAGGCAAAATTGCAATTAAAAGTTTAATAATAATCTAGCAATAAACAAATAGTGTATTTTATCTATATAAAGGATATTGAAGGATACTTTTCTGATGCAAATGTTTTACTGCTACTGAGTGATAACTTTTGTAATACAGTACTAAGAAAAAACTATGAAGATTTTCAACCTGCCAAAACACATTATAAAATGTTGCATATAAGGGAGATATTTGCATGATCCAGCATAAGATCTTCATTCTCTTGTTACAGAGAATTAGAGCTGCAATCTAACTTGCTGCCAAGTGGTACAGTAAACATATCACTCATATACAGTACCACAGTGAGCAACAGTTTGACACACTCCCACCATTGCCCTCTGTTCTGTATTACTAAACAGACTTAAATTTTTCATTGTAGCTTCATTTTCCAAGGTACACGCTCAATGTCTAACTCATAGGAATTGTACCAAAATATTAAAATACAATACTTAAAATCTTAGTGCTCAATGCTGGCAGTTACTTCACCATCTACACATCTTCAAAGCACAATGGTGTACACTTAATGTTTTGATATGCATAGTACAGTATATTAGTAAACTAAAGTCTAATCCAATTGACAAATTCTATAAATGGATTTCACTAAAACAGAAGTGGAGGAACCACTTTATTGCACTACAGTATAAGTACAGTTATAGAGGAAAGTTAAGACGAACCGTTGTGTTCAAAGGAAATATAAGAGTTGAACAAAACTAAAGACATGATTGGAGCAAATTACACTGTGAACAATAGCCAAGTGCAGTATCTAGAACACAAAGGTGGTCCAACTGATGGATGGTGTTACAGGGATTATAGCCACATCAGAGGTGTGGGCACATCCTGAACTTTTACCGTGGACAAATTCTACCCTCCACCACATCTACCTTACCAAAATTAAAGCTGGGTAATCATTTTAAACTACTTATGGCTTACCTCTCAAGTATCTCTGTCTTTGGTGGTTGGTCAATTAAGCTCCAGCTCCAATAGACCCCAAATAGGAATGGGGTCCATTTGAACAGTAACCTGTAACGTTTTGTTCCCTCTCGTGTTAGAGGGATGGGTGGCCACGAAGTCAACCTCCTAATCCATCAATTATATCCCATTCCTAATCAAATGGGAAGCAACAAACGTACTTAGTCTAATGGAGCAAAGCATACAATATATTAAAATAATTCAAGAGAGCTCAATTATACCATCATCATCTACTTATCAAATATGAAAGAGTATAATAATAATAATGACTGAAATTACCTAAAAGCTTCCTATTTTCTAGTGTGATTTCTCAAAGTATTAAAAAGTTAGTGAGAGTGTTCCTTGCATTCTTTCTTCTTACCCCATTACCACACTTTACTGATATATTCACAGCCCCTAACACCTCCAATTACTGATTCACAAAACATTTCCCCCTAAGCCACTCCTATCACAAATTAAACAATATCAACGTCAATTATTTTCACAATATTAACTTTAATCTACATTTCAACAAGTACCTATACCTCTAAACCTATCATTAATATTCTCACATATCCTAAGTCATGCAAGTCAGAGCATGTCAATCACAGTCAACTGCAGTGGAGTTAGTAGTGGTATGTATTGTCCTCTAATATGTAGTAAGAATGAGATATAATACTGCACAAAAGTATTACAGTGCTTTCATGAACTATACAAAAGGATGTATTTAGCGTGTACAGTACAGTAATGTAAAGCTCAGCCATGCCCTAGTCACATCCTCTGGGTCATACTCCACAGCACTACACCAGAGTAAGTGCAGGATACCTTATAGTAGTCCACTTACTGACCTCTATATTCTATTCCTCACCAATACAACTGTCTATTGTTAATTACACAAGGCAGTTTAAGATTAGGAAAGTAAATCTACAGTATCTAGTAAACTTGTAATATCTTCTGCATTGTAAGTTTGCAGGAATCATAAATACTACCTTTTAGAAGATGTATTTGAAAGAACTTAAATTTGCACGAATACAGATTAAGAAACCAAATACAGGTAGTAAAGCACAACATGACTTACCCTGGATGTGATATTCTCCCTCTACTTTATAAGACAAACCAAAAAGTGTTGCCTACATGTGCTAAGAATTTTTAATAACTATATGGCATAACAAAGATAAAACCAACAATTTTCTTATTACAAACTAAACTAAAAATGGATAAATGTAATATGAATGCCCTGTGTGGTGTGTGTATATGAGGTTAGTTACCTTAAATTATTAATAGGACAAATTTATGCTGGAACTGACCAAACTGAGCTGTGCAAAGGTTGCCATTTTCCACACTACTGACTAAGTGAAAGGAAGAGGGTACACATGGGAAAGTGAATTTAAACCCAATATTCATTCATATTTATATACCAAGATATTAAATTCCATATTCCTACACTTCCTCAGTATAAACAAAAAAACAGCAATATAGATAAACATATTTCTACATGTGCAAGACAAACACGAACCTACCCCATTAAAAACACAAATCTGGGTTGTTAACGCGAATAAATATTTCCATCGTCACCAACACAGAGGGTCTGCAAGATAGGGCAGGAATGAATAGCAAACAAAAGTGTACCACTACTATACTATGGTATCTACAGGAGTCCTTTACATCACACATATTTCTACTGTACTCCGCCATTTAACTGTTGAAGACCATCTACAGTACAGTTACACAATCCCAACCTCCCCTCAAAAGTATTATTTCAGTATGGTTGGTCCTCTCTGTGATGCCAAAATTGACAACCTCTTCAAAGGTAGCAGAGCATATTTCCTCTAGTTTTTCTTTTCAATCTTAACAACATGGTATATCAAAACATAATGCTTGAAGGATATGGTGTTCACTTAATGACATGTATATTATGGGATCACACAATTATTTACCAATATCATAAACATTATACAACGCTATCTACAGACTTGCATGGTAAAGTTCAATTTTTTAATTTTAAGAAATAAACTTATGATTTCCTTCACTATTGTTTAAAAGTATTTTCCTCATTTTGTTAAAACAGAAACCAATAAAACATAACTATACATTTGAGACAAATAATAGAACTGAGGATTATCACGGTCCAACCTATAATAATGAAAACTGAAATAGTGGCCCACAATTCTGGCACTGTGGCTGGAATGTGCTTCCAAGTTAGTGTGACAATCCGAGTGTTCAAATCAGTAAGAGGTCTCGTACGTACTCACACAATTCTGAGGTCTTTTATGATTGTCTTGCACTGTAGTAAAACATATATCCTTACATCTCTCACTGGTAGCCCTTAAATGACTGTACTTAAGAGGAATAAAGTATGATGCAGTTATATCAACATGTAAGCTATTATGATTGTACTTCACAATATTAAGGCACAGTAAATAGCAATAACTTTCATGGAAGCTCTTCATAAATGGTCCAATAACAAAACAAAAGAGTAGCCACTAATAAAAGGCAACTCTTTATTCATACAAATAGAGAGCAGCTAAAGCTGATGCCAGGGCAACACCAGCCGTGGCCCAGGCTGAGGTGTTCTGTGGCAAAAACTGGAACCTAGCAGCTGAGGTACTACTCTCTCTGTCCTTGACTTCATCAAAGGCTTTCTGTTGATCTTCAGGAAGGTCAAAGTAAACGGTATCGGAGCCAACATTTTCACGGAGAGCAATAAGCGCTTGTACATCAATGTCATCTGAGGGGGAACTCCACACACTAACGCTGCAGTCAGGAATCTGCAAAGAACCAAATATATATCCCAAAACTCAATACCAACAGACATCGCTTTCAAGCATTAAAACTTTGTTCCTGCATTCACCTTTAACAAAAAACATATAAAATGATTACCTATTTCATGTGTTAGTCTGAATTGTGAGAGAGACAAGTGCAACTATGTTATGACAATTCAAATTAGTTTTGTCATCATAATATTACAAATTTGATTAGTACATAACAGTTATATACACCTCACAATAACGGACCCTTTTAGGAGAGATTTCAGAGTAAACGAGACTTTTTAGAGTGGTCCATCTACTCATTAACTGGGGCTTAGTCTCTGTACTGCAAATAGGAGAAACTTATGTTGCTGTACCACAATTGTCCAGTGAGGAAATACTCCCAGGGACTTGGGTTTTCACAAAGTTGGACCAACCTTCCCCTCCCATATGGTCTGATTAGTTTTTTTTTTTACTGTAGACAGTATAGGGACAGTACATGCAGTACATATTGACCTCAGAATATATAAACAAATTTTGCTAAAATTTTATGAATTTGGGTGAAATAAAATTATATAAACACTTGGCAAGTTGGCAATACTGTATTTGATTGTCAGAGCTGAAGTCTACGTAGTGATGGGCAAGAGCAGTAATTTCTAATTTTTAAGTTAAGGGTTCTATGAGTTAGGAAACTGTACCAGAGCTGATTCTAGGACTCTTCTACACTGTTCATTACACATTTAATTGCTAATAATTATAACTGATTAATATGATACATTCTGAACTAGGGTATGGAATTAATAGAACTCAAGTGTAGCAAAATATCTTAAAAACGTACCTTGAAATACATCTTTTATCAATGACCTAACTACTCTCCCCATGAAGTACATAATCTCTCTGTTATCACTCCATGACTTACATTATCCACCAACCACTCCAGTGACTCCAACGACTGTCCGACAAAAGCAGCGCGAATTGGAAAGGTGATGGGCTGAGCGATGCTGTTGGCCTCCAGTGTATCTGACATCTCTTCCACCATTTCCTTTGTGTAAGCTCCAGCCTCGTCATCAGCTGAGGTGAATCTTGTTGTCCATCCAATTGACAGTGTTGCCTGACAAAATCATTAATAGGGTAATTAGTCTTATCATCAACTTCATACCTGATTTAAATGCATTTATCCAAGTAATTTTGAATAGGCAAAGGAAAAAAAAAACAGACCACATCTGGGACTACAACAGAATGAAGTTCAGCAAAAATACATAATAAACTGAATAATGGTCAGACCAGCAGCATTCATCAGCATGGAAACCAACTGTGTGATGCATACATGATATAAAGTGCAGGCTTTTCAAACAGGTCTGATTATTCAGTTACCAAAGAAGCACAATACCCTGTACAAGGGAAGTAACATTAAGAACTATCAGGGCTATACTCTAAGCTTAGTCTACTAAAGAAGTGCAAACATAAAAATTACTTGCTTGACCAAACAAAAAGAATTTTTACCCCCCAAAAAAAAATCTTTCAACTTAGATATCATAAAGTTAAATAAATAAACATAAATGACTTGAGGCAACACTTCCAAAGCTGTCTTGTACAGTCCACAAGAACTAAAGCAATGATACCACTCAGGTTGACTTGAAAAACTTCAGTGGATAGGAAGACATAAGCAGGAAAGCCCGAGTGATGGACATGATGTACAGTCGAGCCTGGATTTCCGCAGTTTTGGTTTACGCTTTTGGTCATTTACGCGGTGCCTTGCCAGAATTGAAATGCTTTAATTACACAGTAAATTTGGTCATTTATGCGGAGAGCAGCTGGCGGTCCAGCCGCGCCATTTTGGATTCAAACCTCCCGCCATGTTTGACCAAAGCGAGGGTAAGCAGCACGAGTAAGGTTGTGCAGTATGTCGCTGTTGCATTATCGGTGACGTCATATGACGTATCGGACTGTGATTGGGCCAAGCATCCTTACCTCCCTCCCCCGCTAGCTGTGATTGGTTTAATGCAATATGTCGTGCCCTGCCACGGAAGGGAAGAAGTCGCTAACCTAGCAGGGCCTGTCTCATTGTTCTCAGTCCGTGTATACAGTTCTCTCTTGTGCCCGCTATTCCATTCACAACTCACAATGGCTGCCGCAGGACCCCCACCACCAGAGAAAAACATTGAATTACCTGGACCAAGCCATGATAATGTGAAGGAAATCATCGAGTTGGGGGAGAAAATTAAGCTCATCCTTGACAACGACCCAGACAAGCATCGGTATGAGGTGTCTAATAACCATCTGACGAAATTTATGGAGCCGTATATACGGATCTATCTCGACAACGTCAATGTTAGTTGTCAACGTAGTATTGAGGACTTCCTCGCCCGCAGCCCACCACAACAACAGCCAGCCCAAGTCAGTGATAGTGATGATATGGACTTTGAGGGGTTTGTCTGGGAGGCCCTGCAAACCTCTGCGAGTAGTGAAAGTGAAAGTAATTTACCGGAGGGCAACTAATCTGCCCTCTGCCTTGGAACCACCATCCATGTGTGCCGACCCAGTTTTTCTACTAACGTAAGTGTTAAACAACCTAATATTATTGATATTTCTCTCAATTTTTAATTGTGTGCATACCATCATAAAATTAAGATGTTATTTTTACTACAACGTACGTATTGTGTCAGGAAAAAGTGGAGTTTGGGGGTAGGCCCAGTCTCTATTTCAATTAATCCCATATGTTCTGTTATTTCATTTGCGCGTTTCTCGTTTTACGCGGTACTCCAAGGGTTCAATTGACCGCGTAAATGAAGACCCAAATGTATATAGAGTACTGTACTGTACTATACTATACTATACATATATGAACATGTGTGTGACTCACCTGAGGGAAAGACTCAGAACACCAGGTAAGGAACTTGCCAGCATCAAGGGGCACTGCAGTGCTCTCCACTGGACCCTTAAGTATGTCAGCATTTAACCACAAAGGGAAATTGATCTGAAATTAAGATCAAAATTATAATGTGAAGACACCAGAGCTAGATATTTCCACCTACCAATCACAATTGTGAAGATAAAGGAATATACTCCACCTTCCATATACAGTGGTCCCTCGGTTAACCAACCAACACAATTGGTTCCACAGAGTCGTTCGTTAACCGAAAATTTTGTTAACTGAATCTATTATTTCAATAGGATATTGGGTAATTGGTTCCAACTCACAGAAAAAGTACATACAAAGTACTGTATACCAGTAATATAATTAACAAAACATTAAATATAAACTAAATACAGTACTGTACAGTATACCGTACAATAAAAAATAAAAAACATTAGAATACTGTATTTTAACTTACTTTGAGGTGTGTGTATGTCGTATTACCGGCAGCTTTGTTTACATATCAAACAGCCGATTGTAGAGGCAGTCGATGATGACATGCCATATTCTTTACCGAGTGCATTGGTTCTAATGCCTTCTCCATGTCTCATAATAATTTCTGCATTGCATATTATCAGTATGTTAACTAAATTTCAGAATGACCAATAATTTTAATGTAAAAATATTCAAGACACCAACAAAATCAATGTTCATTCCACTGTAAACAAAGTTAAACTGAGAAGCATTATTGGGTGATTCAATCAGCTGATGGGCGCCCAAAAACTGTTCCCTGTACTGTCTATATTATCAAAATGGTAACTAAATTTCAGAATGACCAATAATTTTAATATAAAAAATGCAGAAATATTTATATGACCAAATTTCTTGATATTTTCTTCACTGGAAACAAATGTAAACATAGAACCTATTACTGTATTGGTGGACTAGCCGATCAGTTGATGCGCACAACAAAACGTGTTTGTCATAAGGATTTCGTTAATCGAAGTTTTGTTCGTTAATCGAACTGAAAGTCCTTATGGGCGCTAATTCGTTAACCGAAATTTCGTTAATCGAACCGTTCGTTAACGGAGGGACCACTGTACTACCATTATCTCAAAATCACATGCAAACATCACCTTCAACCTCCACTGCCTTTCAGGGTACAGTACATGGCCAAATTCCTGTACACTGCTACTTCAATCAGATCTTCCTAATTACCACATTAAATAAAGAGAAAAAGATGGTTTCAAGCCTGTCACTCAAAACTTTGCCTGAGACTCTGACCATTAATAATATTTAATAAAACCTGTCCCTTTTCTATAGTAATTCAGCTAATTCTACGAATTTCAAAATTCTGTTGGTCCAAGACCAAGTGTCAAGAAATTATCCCCATTTACCACCATAAATCTCTCTTGACTACAAAGATTAGGAAAATAATACAGGCACTCACCCACCAAAATGATGTCAGAACATGTATTCAAGGTAGTATTCTTCCCCGGCTCAAGATGGATTTTTTCTAACTGGACAGTAAAGTGGGAACCCACCCTCCCTCCCCTCAGGCAATGGGGATGACAGAAGTAGCGCCATTTCTAATCTTCTTTAATTTAGCTCTCTCACAGAATAAAATATGAAATGAGGAAGACATTATTGTATTTACTTGTTCTGTGCGACTCTTGAGCAGCTCGAGGCTCTCCTTCACAATAGTCAGATCCTTGAAATCCAACTTGGCTCCTTTCTTCTTCCCATCCTGTTGACAAACATGATAATTTACCAGTAAGTCACACTAATTACAAATATAAGTTACATCTTTTTACCATGTTCCTGAACCTGAGTCTCCAACAATCACTGACTCTCAACCACACTTTACCATAAATTATGGGATACATGTGTTTTACTGTGCTGTACCAAGTTCTTTACACAAGTCATTAAAACTAAGAGTAGTACAGTACATTTACCATATTGTCATATTTATTCCAAGGAGATATTTATGGGAAATATCAAGCAACGTTAGCTATTTACTCTTCTTTCCATTAAAAATAAAAACAAGACTTACATCACCTTGGCAGACAAGAGTCCTGAAGGTGTAACTTATCCCTTACTACCCAAATTCTATTGTCCCCCTAAAATATATAAAGGACAATTCACACCACCTGTAAGACAATGCTTCACGTGCTCAAAATCAAAGAACCTCTGATCTAACTTATTTTCTAATACTTCCCTACAGAATCATTACCCACACTCATGCAACCCTTAATGTACCCTGCATACGATCACTCCAGCACTAACTCACCCCCCCCCACCACTCCTTATGCCAAACAGCCCTAACTCACAATTCATTTAACCAAGACATCATTGTGAGGTTTTACAAGTCAGTCCGAGTTACAGTTTTAGTAAAAATAAAACAAAATTATGAACAAGTACAATATAAACAAGACAAGCAAGTTTCAACACAAGTCAATCTTTTTAATCAAGACAAGAAAGTGTAGTTCAAGTATAAAATTCCAGTTCTACGTTACAACACCAAATGGATCAAGTTGTCTTGATTTTCATTCACCTGATGGATGCATAAAAACAAGCTTATTCATTCACCTTTCTCAATAAACTGCAGAAGCCGAGATAAACAACTTTCATTACTGTTTCTCGACACCATTCATAACCTGTATATAACTTCACGTTAGTAACAGTGTATACTCACAAAATTTTCCTTGACTACTGAGTCTACAACACTAAAAAGGGAATTCTGTACCTCATATATGCCAAGTGTGTTAAGTTACTTGACACTTTCACGTGGCAAAATAAAAAGTCAGTTCCCAAATATTTCCCAAGTCTGTATAGTACTAAATCAAAACATGATTTTTTTTTAAAGTTAGGAATACCATATATTCCTCTTTTAGGTAAGTACAGCAACACGAGACAAAAGTTGGCTTAGTTGTCACTGGCAAACTGTACCTGATTTGCTTCAATCACTTTGTCAATCCACATCTCCAGGGAGAGGTCAGACTCTGTGCTAGGAGGATGAGCCATGATGGGGATCACTGGGTCATCCTCTCCTTGTTCAACCAGGCGCCCAGCAGACACATCTGCTTCAAGCATCATCATGGCTGCATCTGTTAAGGACAAATTATATTACAGCCTATACTCACCAAGGCTCTAGGACATTTCATCACCGGTTCAGCATAAACCTAACCTACACTAAACACGGCTTCATCAGCCCCAAACTAGACACTATTATCAAAATTTAATAAATATAACAGTACTGTATTCAATAGACCGGTAACAAAACGTTAGCCCACCACTCACCATATGTATACTGTACGAGTCTACTTCTAACGCCCTAAAAACTCATAACATTATGCCCCGAGGTCCACAACAAATACCACCATAATTACCATGAAATAAACTTATGTAAAATACCCCAACTTCGTCTTCAATATTTTACACAAGGCAGTATCAAGAGAACACTGTCTCCTTAATAAAGGACAGTTACTTTATGCACTTCAAACCATCTGTAACGATACATTTCCGGTAATTATAACCAGGAGCTACGGCCTCGGGGAAAAAAATTGGCTAATCTATTCTTGGATTCTTGACTAGGAACTCGTGTGTGTTTATTCCACCATACCTGCAATGCTCTTCTCCAATTCTTCTTTGCTGTTGACTGCATGACCCCAGATGACCTTGCTGAGGTCATCACTAGCTTCTGGGAAGTAGTCAGCAACATCTACAATGTTCCCCTTCACACTTTTGGTAGCCATGATCAAAGCTGCAACTAGAGGTATCAAGTTTATACCACAACCTGGAAAACAAAATTATAGTTCAGAATAAAGAGCTCAACCTCCCTACTGTACAGGATTACAGGGTGGACCTAAAGGCAGGAAACACAGGCACTAAAACACATAACTGCACTGTACCGTAGTTCAGTTTAACATTCATTTAATAAACATTCATATTGGGGTCCATTAACAAGTATACAGTACAGTGGTCCCTCAATTAACAAACACAATCGGTTCCACAGAGTCGTTCATTAACTGAAAATTTCGTTAACTGAATCTATTATTTCATTGGGATATTGGGTAATTGGTTCTAACTCACAGAAAAAGTACATACAAAGTACTGTATACCGGTAATTGAATTAACAAAACATTAAATATAAACTAAATAAAGTACTATACTGTATACTGTATAATAATAAATAAAAAACACTAGAGTACTGTATTTTAACTTATTTTGAGCTGTGTATGTCGTATTCCCAGCGGCTTTGTTTACATATCAAACAGCCGATTGTAGAGGCAGTCGATGATGACATGCCATATTCTTCACAGAGTGCATTGCTTCTAATGCCTTCTTCATTTTTCATAATAATTTCTGCATTGTATATTATCAATATGTGAACTAAATTTCAGAATGACCAATAATTTTGATGTAAAAATGCAAAAATATTCAAGAGACCAACAAACTGGATGTTCACTCCACTGTAAACAAAGTTAAGCCGAGAAGCGTTGGTGGGTGATTCGATCAGCTGATGGGCACACAAAAACTGTTCCCTGTACTGTAGATATTATCAATATGTTAACTAAATTAGAATGACCAATAATTGTAATATAAAAAATGCAAAAATATTCAAGATCACTAACTTTCTTAATATTTACTCCACTGGAAACGAATGTAAACATAGAACCAATTACTGTATTGGCAGACTAGCCAATCAGCTGATGTGTACAACAAAGCGTGTTTCTCGCAAGGCTTTTGTTAATCGAAGTTTAGTTCGTTAATAGAATTGAAAATCCTTACGGGAACTAATTCTTAACCGAAATTTCGTTAATTGGACCGTTTGTTAATCGAGGGACCTCTGTATTTCAACTTTTCTTTCAAAGTGACGACAGTATAACTTCCTCTAAAAACCTCTGGGGTAATCTTTAGGATCACCTGAATAATCTCCACCCCAGCTTATTACACCTAAAGATTAACCACCCTAATGGTATTTGGAGAGGATGAGGTTACATGAGGTTAGGCTAGTGTTAGGGTGGTTAGGAAAAATAAGCTGGGGTGGAGATTCTTCAGGTGATCCAATCGTTTGAACATGCAAATGATTAAGTGTATCAGTAACTTATTGTAATTGTTACCTTCTTTTCCGTACATAAAACACTACCGTACTGTATTTCGAATTGCTCATCTTTTGTTTAAATTCTACCATTCATCTGAAAAGGGAAAAAGTAATTAATAAATAAAGCAAAATTAATTCCTTTGTTTCCTGACTTTTGGCCCAACTTGTACTGTACGTAAGATATGGTACAGCACTTTACTTACCCTCTGTAACCACAATACACTTACGTACTCATGAACTTTTGGTATTGAAGAAATTGAAGATTAATCCCTGAAAACTTTTTTGCTCATGGCGGTTGTGTTTAACTCTTGGTTTGGCTTGTTTCATTTGTTTTGTCTGTTCTAAAAGTCATGAACTTGCAGGGAAAAAAAATCCAAATGCATAAAATTACAATTCCTTGGGTGGATATCATTGATTCTTGTGGGAGGAAACATCTTATCTTCAAACAAAAACTCTTAAAATATCAAATCTCGGTGCAAAATAGGTTACAACAAGTTTGTCTTAAAGTAAAAAATATTTTACATTTAAAAAAAAAAGACCAACAACTTTTCTTCTAGATTAAAAAAATCAAAAGTACAGTTGTTGTAGTGCAAAAATAAACTACCAGTACAGTACAGTATTACCAAAGCAAATATTTTTTCCTAGAAACAACTAAAAATAGTGAGTTTTGAATGAAAATATTGATTTACCAGTGTGTTGCATGTGTTAATATGGCTTCACATCTGCACATGATTATAGCACTTCCAGCCAATAATTAGTCACCCAGAGGTAAAATCAGCAAGTATTAAATCCATTAGTCTGATCTACACCATACACGAGCAAAACTATTCCTCTTTAACACTGGTTAAGTTTCAAAATACTGTTTAAAAAAACACGGTAATTATATAGGAAAAACCCGCGAGCGAAATTGATTGAAAACAATTTTAAAAACGCCGGATTTTCATTATTATATTACAGTGGACACTGTTGTAGTTTGTGGAAATATGTTAAAAATTTATATTTTTTTAAATAAACGCTACTTAACATTTGTGGTAATGAACAGACCTAACCAACCAAACCAAACAAACTAACCTAACCTGACCTAACTTCCCAGGTATATTAAACAGAAAGAACTTACTTTGATATGGTGAAATTTGAGGCATTTTCTGGACGTGAGATGATACGGCCACATCAGCCGATGCAGCCCTGGCGGGTTAGTCCTATACACGTATTAACCCAAAAACAATGATTACCCTAGAAACAGTACACCAAATTATTGTCCAGCCTCGACTAATGCATTAAGGAGGAGACGATTGATTTAATGATAATGAAAAAACTATATAAACTTAATGCTTGTAGAAGGAAAACACTACACTTATGCTTCACCAACGCGCTGACTCGCCTTTGTCCGGGTGACAATGCCTTACCACCGTTCCTCACACTTACATATTATACAACACCAAATTTAAATAATTCTCGACATATCTAAAGTATACGAATAATGTGATTAAGATAACCTATGGAGAAATCATGTAAATAACACGTGCTTTAATAAGAGACGAACAAAACCTGTAGACATGAAACAAACGGTGTAAGGATTCCCACAACTTAACCACCTGTTAATGTAATAACATTTTATGGTACAAGGAAACTGAGACACCTGTTTTATCTACAATCCTGACACGCTCCACACTTACACCTAAGAGTCTACACCAAGAAATAGCACAACACTTAAAATATAGAGAGAATTTTACCAGTTGTTGAGGGAGTACGAGAGAAATGTGTTATGCGTCACTGATCAGACACGAGGACTGGGCGGCCACCTTACTGTTACTGTTGCCAACCCCGCCTCTCACCTCTCAGTATCACCCCCTACACATACCACTTCACCCTGACGAGCCTAGTAATGTATATAAACAGTTCACCACAAACAATTAAGCGAATTATGGAAATGAGATATGTATTACTTGGTGAAAATTAAAATTTACCAACTATTTTAAGTTTAATGGTTCGTGGTTCTGTTGTTCACACTGGCGCCCTTAAGTACCATAATTTTAATTTAATTGGCATCAAAATTTCACAGCTTGTTGGCGAGAGTAACGTTATATGTTTTGAACAATATTAGTCCCACAGGTCATCGATGAAAGTCAACTCACTGTTCCAAATATGTTAGGAGAAAAAGTGGAAGGAAATGAGATCTCGCCACGTATCAGTCTGCCCGCTATTTGTCATTTGTTAATTTATGGTTCCAAACCAAAGGAAACTTAACCTAACAACTGTAGGACGGGTAGCGTTATTTAATCTACCGAGCGTTAATTGTATTGCATAGCTCCTATGATTATGGTAGTGTCCTGTTATGGTACTGTATTGTGTTAACATGTACAGTTTATTTTCACCTACACACGTTTCCTGTACCTCTGTTATCATTGTTTCTCCGAAACATCATCACAACTCCGCTTACGGAGTTTAATTAGACCATTAGATGGTTTATTACCTATAGCTCCCGTTACTTTAATTAAACAGATGCATATTTGTTAAATGACAATGAGAACACGTAACTTATTTTCCCTTGGCCAGCCAACCATATTTACTTTTACTTTACTTTTATCCTCTTCACCACTGATCGGCTCGTTAGCCGCTTGGGCGATCGGTCACGATCAGTTTATTATATAACAGTTGATTCCATTAGCTTGTAGTACTGTACTTAAAACAATAAAATCACTGTATATGAGTTTGACTAACAAATGTGTGTGACATCTGAGAGGCTTCAGCTATAATGCTATGATTTACTGTATATAAAATTTTATGATTATATATATATACCACAGGGATAGTATTACACACCGTGGAAAATTTATATAGCGCCAAAGATGGATCCTTTAGCTAGCACCTGCTATAACCACTCCATGTATTGTATACCACTAAATCCCATCCACACACAAGTTCAGAGACGTGACCAACCGCCCAAGCGGCTAACGAGCCGATTAGTGGAGAAGAGGATAAAAGTAAAAAGTAAATATGAATGCTGGTACCTAAGCTCACAAACACAGACACGTACACTCGTGCATGCGCCCACACACACACATACACACTCTGATATCACTCGGAGGCTAGCATGATGATCCCGTGATAACAAAATAATAAGATATTTTAATCGCATCATCTTAGTTTGTGATTTCTTAGGTGGCTCAAAAGATCAATTACGTGGGATTCAAGATCATCAATAGAGTGAGAATAACAGCACCATTCCGACACCGCCTCGGCATGTAGTCCATTTACCTCCAAGATTTTCACACCCTCTCTCACTCCTCCAGACGTTACCATTAGAGGTCACACGCACACACACACACGTCATACAAGAGGTCACAACTCTTATCTGGTATTACTAAAACCTTTGTTTACTTTTACTGGCAGAAAACGTCACAACATTTTAAGGTAAACTTGGCCACTACAAGTTCTGTGACTATTAACACTACTGACTGATACTAATGCCGTTATTGCTATTATTATTATTGTTTCTAATATGTAATATCATTATTATAAGTACAATGCCTCTGTTAAAAGTAAAAAAGTCTAAGTATAAGTATTACTACTCTACAAAGGACTATGCGGTAGCTAGACACTAAGATGCAATACTGTTAGTAATTATAATTAATGTTGGTGATATTAAGTGCTACTCCTGCTTTTACTATCAAACTTAATTAATGTTCCTGTACTACAATATACTGTATTTCCAGTTACAAACTTCTTTACATTATTTCATCTTCATATGTCAGCTTACAGTAATCACACTTTCTCTTATTGTCTATAACAGTGAAAAACTGCAAGCTTTTGGCATTGGGTCTGTTGACTGATTTAGTCTTATCTTAACGACAGGAGATAAATTGTTGCAAATGATACCGAGTCGACAAGTCTTGTCGATAGCCTGTGGAATCCCATTACTATGTATAAATAATATGCCCATTAGTGTTAACAGCAAACTTATGTTGTATGCTGATGACAGTGCCCTTTTAGTGTGAGGTAAAGATCCAAATGTCATAGCTAATAAATTAAAATCTGAACTGTAGTCATGTAAACAATGGCTCACTGGCATTAAACTGTCCCTATATCTTACCGGTACTTTTATCCTCTTCACCACTGATCGGCTCGTTAGCCGCTTGGCGGTCGGTCACGTCTCTGTTACGCACTGTTGGAAAGTACTGGGCATGCACTGGCTCCTGAATGTATCTGAACCTGCTTCAGTGCTTATCCAATCTGGTCTTGAAAGAGCTCACACTCGGTGCCATCACAACACTCCGGCAGTAGGTACCTGCTTTAAAGTTTTCTATGACAACATCCAAATATTTCCTGAATGGGATCACTTGAGGATTATGCAACCCCAGCTTATTTCACCTGAAAATTTACCACCCTAATGCTACCAGGGGAGGGGGAGGGGTTAAGGTTAGGTTAGGTTACTGTTAAGGTACTTAATATTTAGGAGTTTTGCTGAATGCCATTAACTTTATCCTAGCTCAAGCCCAAAAGCCCAGCCTTACCTGTTGGTGTAATAAGTGTATCTCTGGGGTTATCACAGAAAGTACAGTACCATAGTCAGTCTGAATCACCATCATCCACCATTTCACCTAATTTGATTTATTACTATGAATTATGTAATTTCCTTGGTTACATGCTCTTATTACCAATTGTGGTGCAGTACCTGCCTTATGACCTGCAAATACCATACATACTTGTACAGTCTGAATTTGTCCTCTAGATCAGTACAGTACAAGAGAGTATTTTTCACTTGGTCTGTATGAGTTGTGGCTCCTGTAGTAGTGTATGACAGCTGTGTGTATGATGCACACAATCTTTATATTGATACAGTATATCATCAGTGAAGGAGCATTGTAAATTAACCATGAAATATTCTATAAATGAAGATATGAAATAAAATTGTTGTCTTGGCTAAAAAAAAAATCTGATGATAAATATGATTGCTCATACACTAACTGGGATCAGAAATATTCCATCTTCAATCATTATTGTGAGTCAACCTACAAGTGACCCAACTTGTGAGGGCTGGGCTGCTGCCACATGTATTTAAACACTTGCTACCAGGAGGCTGCTCATCTGCTATCCACCCAGGAATGTTTCTTGCATCTGATATAAGTTGTCTGATTGGTTGAGTTCAGTTGTGTAAACACAAGACCACCAACACTAACTGCATTTTCCAAAAACACTTCAATAACTTTTCAAATAATTAAGTTAAGAACTCAAATTCTCATGCACTTAGTGATAATTATAAAAATATAGAGTACCCCATTTACTATGCAAAAAACAGAAAATTAAGCTAATTCACTAAAACATGTTGTCACCTAACACTAGAACAGAGCATGTAAGGGATGAGTGAGCACTGCAATGAACCAAAGCAAGAGAAATTAAAATACCTGTAGGTGCTTACTAATGTACAGGACTATTATATCTGGTACTATGGGCTACCTTAAAAACATTTTACTTTATCATTTATACCTCATATCATCTTACAAACCATTCAGTCGATTGGCCTGTTCTTAGCTACTTTGCCATGGCCTCCATTACAAATTCAGCTTTAATGACTTAGCAGACCGGAAAAGCCCAAAGGCAAAGTAGGTAGCGACTCCAACCAAGACAAGACCTGGTTCTGGTACACATTATTCCCTACATTTCCTTCTTCTTCTTCCTTGTCTCTTCCTAAATGCTTTTCTATCTCCAGCAGTTCCAGCAAAAGTGTAATTAATCAACCTTGTTTACAGTGTCTCATATGTAAATTGTAATACTGTACAGTGTAATAATAGGAGAATGAAACATGTGATAAATATTTACTTCATATTGTTGACAAGAAGCTGAAGGACCACAATCACGTCTATGTTCCTTCAGGAGAAACACCACAAAATGATCAAAAAGAAATTTTAAAAGATACCACAACTGTATATGGTACCACTCATGCTAAGTACAGTACAGTAGACAGAAATTAAATAATTAGCCTCGACTATTCATGGAAGCGCTACCAGGAGAGAAAAGAACTGTCGCTGCTCTAAATACTGTACTGTATTGGTTAAATTTTGTAATCATATTTAAATTAGAGGCAATATAAGTCCACCATTTTAACCCATGAAGTTTATAGTTTCCCATTTATGTCTTTTTTGTGGTTTCCCCAACTTCTATAATCTCTAATACACCGCCCTCAATATACAACTTTCACCCATGGCAGTTTGCATATTTTCATTTATCTTTTAGTGTAAACAATGTATTTTAGATTTCTTTATAAGACAGCAAGTACGTATGATCTGGGGAGGGAGATGATTAGTGAGTTATGAACCACGGTGTAGTATATTGACGACTTTTTGAAAATTATTACCGTATGCACACTTACACATTTATTCATTACAGTACCTTTCTAAGTCGGTAATTATTGGGAAAATATTAGAAAATAATCCTAAAAACTCACTTTAGGAAGTAGAATGGCTGGCTTTAATATGTATGAAACAAATGAAAGTTCATAAACTATATTTTTTTCACAGTTGATAGAAAGCAACATCAACATAACTAAATTAATGAAAAGACAAACAAAGAACATAGAATAACTCTGACAAGAACATTTAACTAACTAACTTCTTCTATTAAATTACAGCAATGAATGAGATACATAATAATACAGCACATACAAGTAAATTCAAACCAATTATACAGTATTGTACTTCATTGTGTTAAGAACTAAAATAAAGTAATAGAGTGATTAAACTTCTATCAGTACCCATAAGTTGTGTGGCTCCTTGAGGTAGTGGGCTGCTTGTCTCTCACCCTGGATGAGTCACCAGCATCTCTGAGTTGACGTTGGAAGCTTCAACGTTAATCACTTTGAATTTTGTATCCGGCCACAACACCTCCAACCTGTTAACAAGAGAATTTCAATTACTTTAGGATATATATATTGGGCTAATGAAATATATATATATATATATATCTATAAATTTACAGTACTTATAAAATTTAAATCACAAAAAGACTTGAGAATTTTGTGCCATTCTTTAATTTTGAATAAATGTGACACAAGGGGTAACCACATTTGTTATGTGTTGAGGGCAGTGGAGGAAGAACATGAAATAATTAGTTCTAGGATATAAGTATGAGCCAAACTTTGTTAACCTAAAGTGATGTTTATTCTAGTTACGTTCCCATGAAGGTATCGAAGGTAAAAACATGAAGAAAGTGATTAAAAAGAACTTACTTCACTGGAATGTCATGATCAAGGCCAAAGTGAGCAACTGGTTCTATTTGACACAAGTATCCTGAACCAGTGTCAATAGCTCGAGTCTGCCTTCCTCTCTTACAGTGTAGGGTGACTTTGGCCCCTCTGGCTGGGGCTCCCTGGTGTGTCAGGACTCGCACACGCAGCCATCCTCGCTCTGACATCTTCTGGGAGAATGTTAGCAAAGGATAATTTTGTATGAGGGGAAGATCACAAATACTATTATGTGTAATATTAACATTCCACTTTCTAATTTTATAACAAACTCACATGCATATAATTCTCCTCAAGATTTAGGGTTACCAATAATTGAAACACATTTTCAGGGTCAAAGCCTCGGGAGCAAGACTCAAATTACTTGCCAAAGAATACAGCTACACACTAATTGAACTAAGACTTGTATAAAGAAGTCACATAAGATGATAAACAAGCTACTGACATTGGATTTGTTAATTTCCCATCTCTAATAAATATGCAATCCAACTGGCTGATCACTCACAGACCATACGACGATCTAAGCACAAACATCTATCTCAACTATGCCTGAAAATCCTCTGAAGTTTATTTTGATGTCTATACGTATGTGGTTCACCTGATATGCCTCCGTCTCACTGACCTCCTCTGGTGGTAGTGAAAAGATGCTAAGGGTCTTTGTTGACGACCTCCCATGAGACAGAATCACCTCCAGCACTCCATCACCATTAAGATCCACTACAGCACAACCTGATAAACACCATCGCCTTATAAATATTGTTGTATGTGTAATTCAGTCAACATTTCGTACTTCAGATTAATACACGGTAACTGTGATTAATGTGACTGGGATGTGTTCTCCAGATCCAGATGTGACCAACCTTAATGCAAACTGCAGAGACAAAAACAAAACTTAGGAATTCTTAAACATTCCTGGGCAGCCTGGTGGTCATGCGATAACACTAAATGCAGTTAAAAACAAGAAAAGTGAACGCATCTCTTACCTGTGCCTTGACTATATGGTTCCAGGGCTTTGCCTATGTTCATCTCCTTGATGGTCGGATCCTGTCCATTTACACTTCGTAATATTTGATATAGACGATTTGGTGCTGGGCCTCGATAAGCAAAATTATTCATCAAAACCTGTTAAAATCCAAATAGTCATTTTTCAATCAATAAAAACAGGAACTGGTGGTTATTACTTTTTCGTATTAAAGTATACATACAATGCAGATCCACTGAATGATCTTTAACAATTCACACCTTCACAAGCCACAAATTAAAACACACAAACTCAGTGTGAGAACAGCATATCAATAATACCTGATTCTCTCATAAAGTGAAAACTCTCAAATAAACCAAAAAAGAAAGGAAGAAGCCAATCTGCTGTACATTATTCACATGAAAACAACCTAACCCACAACTAAATACAGAGGTTAGTTGTAATACAAGAGCCAAAAAGCCAATAAAATCTAGGATCTAACACTTCAGAGAGAGAGAGAGAGAGAGAAATATGAGAAGCTTGTCTAAAATAATACCACTAGAGAGACCTGTCAAACATTCTTAATTTGCAGTAAACACAGACAAAACTTCCCAGCGACTTGAACTGTAATAACATTTCCTGTAATGCCATATCAGCACATGCTAGTGAATCCCCTTTAAAACCCTCAAATTAAACATTCATGTTAGCTCATAAAATACAAAACCTTAATAACGCAAACTGGACTAGTCATCGGGAAAAGTGAACTGTACCTTCCCTGAGCCACAGAAGGCATGTCAGTCTCGGCAATATGTATTAAATTTCAGCATTGTCGCATTTAAACACAGCATCAAATTCTGAACTTGATGAAAAAGTGAAAAAGCACAAAATTATGCTGATAGAAAGATATTATATAAATAAAAACACTGGAGAGAGAGAAACAAGACCCACATCCTGCGTTACCTCTAAGCTGCCATCATTGTTGAAGTCGGCAGCAACCACCGTCCGTATTGATGAGGGTTCAGCAAATTCCTCCGTTGCTATATTCTGCAAAGCAATTATTAATATAGTCCACATTTTCTTTACAATTAAGTACAAGAACCACAAAAGCTTAGAAAACATAGTAACCCTTATAGAACCAGAGACTGACAACAACTAGGCAAGGAAGGTTAACTCACTCTTGTTCTTTGGTGTGACACAATACAAACTGCATGTCCAAGTAATAACAGACATCTGATTGGAATGAAAGTGATTGAAAAATGTAGCCATTTACAACAGTGAGGACTGTGGAGGATTGTAGGAAACTCATACAAGTGGCTCACACTCTCTAAGGCAAGTTTCTCAGTATACAGTACTGTACTGCTGTACCAGGTAAAGACTAAGTCAGGAATTTCAGTGGATAGGGATAAAGAGGAACAGCAGTGATGAAGTGGTGTGTCTGTAGTGAGATTTCAGTTGTTTGATAAAGAGTTGATTCTCTCCTATCAAAGAGGAAAGGATCTTGCACACAGTCTGAGAAATTTATAAGACAGTTTTTTCAAGCACAGAGATGGAGCATAGATCTACTGCATAAATTCATTTTAGGCCTTGGTCAAGTAAACTAATCAATAGGGTAACAAGTGTGATAAACAATGGGAAACTTACTCTAAATTTAGGTCGACCCTCGTCATCAGCAGTCTGAAGAAAGATTTTGTGGGGGCCATTGCAGTTGCCATACACAATGTCCAGTTTACCATTACCATCAAAGTCAGTCAACATCACACCACGACCACCATTTTCATATGCATCAGAAATACCTGAAATGCAAAAAACCCAAAACTAGTAATAAAGCTTTAAAACACATATATGTAAGAAACAGGTTAAGACGATGTCAATAAAAAATACACAAAATTCAGTTCATGAGAAAAAAGGTGCACAGGTTAGCACTAAGTTGAAGGGGTGTGTTTGACGTCAGAGTTGAACAAAGTTTGAATTGCGGGGATCTTGAGCTTCATCCCACAAAAAGTATCCAGGAAATTACCGGTACTCTCAACATCAAATAAGTCTTGTTAACTGAGTGACAAGAGAGTAACAGGGACACAAAAGAGCAAGGATTAATACACATACATCACAAGGTAGGAACTTACAAGGAGATGATTACATCACCATTAACATCGATGACATGAAAGAAATTCTGTTAAAAAAATGAGTGATAACTCCAGTGAAAATCAATAAAGTATAACCAATTATTGAAATATATTACAAAATAATTATTATATACAGTAAAAGTTAATGATGTGATCTAGTATTTTTAAGTTGTTTATTTTCCTGCAAAAACGAAAATACTGTAATGTACCGGAGAAAAATAAACCATAAACAGTAATGTACGGTCATCTTACCTGACTCAGCGGCCACATCAGTAAAAGTTCCATTTCCATTATTCTTAAATAAGAAATTTGGGCCGTGTTCACTATTGCAGAAGAGGTCGCTTCTCCCGTCCTTACTGAGTATTGGACCGGCAGTAACTCCACGCCCCCCTGTTGGAAGTTAATTTAAATAAGATGCCTTGAGAATCAGATATTGATCTCCCACAGTTAACTTGATGAATTAATAATAATCAGGAATCTTTGGTATAAACCACTTGACAGAACCTTAATTTTCTAATCATATTTCCTTATTCAGTGATTTGGTAAAATTATGGGCAAATTTAGTCTCATCACTAAAGATGGTACCAAGAGTAGTGGTGACTGGCTGTGTCTCAGGCTCAGTACTGTACTAACTTAGCTGCTGGATGGTGAGGAATTGTCTAAACACCAACAATTATGTTTTTTGTGATGAACTTTTCAATACAGTATACTAATCTTTAAGTACATATAAGATGACAGCATGTATCCAAATTATTATTTTTTTTTTTGTCTACTGTACATTACAGGCTATTGTCTTACTCATTCTATTCCTGGTACCACAGGAGTCAGATTGCAGGACTTTCTGTGTACACATACTTACATACATACTTGTACATACTGTACCCAAATTAAAAGAACATGACTTTTGTGATATACAGACACAGACTTTTGTTTTAAGATACTGCAAACTAACCAACAAAAGTCATGAAGGAACTGACTGATACAGTATAGCAAAAGATAGAGAGAACAAGTACGACCATATGAGGAGAATGATGCGCACAGAACAACTAAAGTGTGTAAGAGTTCAGAGGACAAAACAGTGGTGGAGTGACTGTGTGGACGTGTACAGGTGACTGAGGTACACCTTGATGGGGTGGAGAAGTGTGTGGAGGGACAGACAATAGGAAAGATTGAGGTATATGGGCTATGCTGAATTCGACACTAATATTTTTTCAATGGCCTCACAACCCCTTCCCCCCCCATAACAACCTTGTGCCCCCCCTCCCTCTATCAGCCTCACATCCTCCCTCTGTACCAACCTTATCCCTATGCCCTCTCCTTGTACCAACCTCTCACCCACAGTGCCAACCTCACCCCTGGTATAGATGAGCCCCTCCAAGTGTTACCTAGACACAACATAGGAATCTTACCAGTCAACTTGGCAATGCCGGCCTCCTGTACAACATTTCTGAGAACCACGACTCCATTAGCCACATCGCTACGACTCTCATCCATTTCAATGAGAAAAGGGGTGCTGTAATTCCCTCTTGAATAATTGGGCAGATAGATGGCATACCTGTGAGGAAAAATAAGGAGAGTTCAGTTTTATAAGAACATTTTTGGATTACTTGAAGATCAGGCATCCCAGGTTTTTTTTTCACCTGATAATCAAACACTAATGCTAATCTGGGGAGTAGATGAAGTTAAGGTAGGTTAGGTTAGTTTAGGCTAGGTTAGGTTAGGTTAGGTTAGGTTAGGTTAGGTTAGGTTAGGTTAGGTTAGGTTACGTAAGTCAGATAATAATACTTCAGTCTTATTGGCAATTGCAAAATACTTATTTCAGAAAAAGACTAAAGTAAACCTTTAAAAAAACTTACTTTCCTGTACCATTACGATCGATGCAAGTAACTGAGATCCCAGCTAACCGGCTTGCAAGTTGCTGATTTACCTCATCAGCAAGAATATCCTCATACCGACCTGAGGAAAGTCATACAGTTGGAAATTAGCAATTAATTAAAAAGCTCCATTACCTCAATAATCACTTCACTGGCAATAAAGTAAAATATTCTATACAACATGTCAACTTTATACAATGATACAGAGATAAAGACTAAATAATTATCCAGTACTAGGTGTAATAAAAAGCAAAAAAAAACATGAGAGTAAAGACACACAGGATGAATATAATGTTTCACTGACACTCTTACATATCAATGAATGACACACACACACACACACACACACAGACACACACACACACACACACACACACAGACACACACACACACACACACACACACAGAATCCATCACTATCATCAGTACACTATATAACAGGAATACACATGAATAAATCCCACCATTTCTGAATTTGAAGAGTTTAGCACCATACACTTGACTGGGGCTGAGGAAATAAATCTCTTCCCGTCCATCACCGTCAATGTCACAGGCACAGACATCGATGGTGTTGCCTCCCACGTCCCTCAGAGCGTAGTATGGACTCGTAGGATCATCTACAGCCAGATTTTCTAACTGATTCTCTGCCTGGTTGTATTTTAGCACCAGATTTGGTCCAACGGATCTGAAACATGTAAAGCGGATCCTCATATGTCTCATCAATGTAAAATGCAGGATATTTTCAAGGTAAGATTCGCTTTAGAAAGATCAACCAATGTCACCGCCAACTTGAATAGCACTACAGTCATCTCATCCAAATTCTTAGCCCGAAGAACATTACGACAAAGTTTAATCAAAACAATATTTAAGAGGAAAGATATATCATGCTATAGTTGTTAAAATGGAGAATTTAAATTAACAAAAAAAAGATTATTAAAAAACCTTTGACTTAAATCTACCTACAAGTTTTACATCTACCTGAGGACAGAGAATCACCCACACATCTCTGAAGGATACAAGATGGACTCTCATTACACCTTCTTACTTCATATTAAAACAAAACAAAATCAAAATTACTGTAGCATTACTGACCCGGCCACGATAATCTCCAGCTGGCCATCATTGTCCACATCTGTGACTGCCAGGCCACAGCTGAGTTGAACCGAATTATCCTCAGGACTCTGCCTATAAATAGTCAACCGAGAGATAATACCCTGTACTGTATAATATTATGCTATATTTAATAAAAAAAACATCTAATAAAACATCTAACATTCTATACAGTAACCAAATATCGATCATTCTACCTTCTATAACCAAACACCAATCATTCTATCTTCAATAAAACACCTAACACTGCTAGATGATCTGGCATCTTAATTCCATATGATTTTAAGTGAAATACAAATCCTATTAATAATTTAATATGGGATTTAACTTGTTATTAATTTCTCAGATTTTCTGTGTAGCAGTGAACATTGTTGATGAGTTTTACTGTGTTTAAATAAATGTCCTGATATGTTTCATCACTTAGCTATACAAAGGAAATTATGTACAGATTCTATTATAATTTAAATATCTAAAACTAACCTAAACGATAACAAGGCTAATAATTCAACTAAATAAAATTGTCACCACTGACCTAAATAGGTTTTGAGTTATGTCCAGAAACATTATGATGGTTGGCAAGACGTCAAGGAACACCTCCAGGTGGCTTCTACAGGAACTCTCCAGGTGGCTTCTACAGGAACTCTCTGTTGGGGGAAGATGTGAGCCAATGACTTCACCCTGACCAAATGATAAGGTGACCACTAGAAGGAATTGTCCGAATTTCCCCAGGATTAGTAAGGACAAGACTGAAGTTATTAACCGCATTAAATATTTTCAGGGTGTATCGTACTATTAGGATTAAAAAAACCCACTACAGTAGTAAGTCAATGTTAATTACTGTGGCCGGCAGCAGTAAAACCTTCCTTCCTCTGTTTCATTAAAAATATCGACTAATAAAAACCTGACCTGATTTGTATGTTATTAAACCTTACCTAATCCAGCTTAAACTGTCCATAATATAAATGTCACAGTACTACACACGACAGTACGGTACTTTGAAGTTTATTGTGTACTGTAGGTCTGTCTGACAGTAACAGCTGATGGTCTTGGTGTTTACAAACAAAGGGTCCCCCCCCCCCTACACCGGGCTCCTTATTTCATGTTATTTTACTTTATACTTTCATACTTATTTACTTACACCACAAAATAACTTATTAATTACACCTAAAATAACTGAATACTTAATTTCACCAAAAAATAACTTAATACTGTACAGTACTTACTTTTTTTTTACAAGATTAACTACCAGGGAACAACAGGTCAATGACCCACAGTAGCGATCTTCAAGAGTGAAGTGCTTCCTCATCTGGAGTACTGTCACTCCGTCTGGTCTCCGAGATTTGCTAGGGACTGTCAGTTGGTTGAAAATATCCAAAGGAGAGCCACCAGACTGGTGCCTGTATACCGGAACCTCAGCTACCCTGAGAGATTAGAGCACCTGAAATTGCCTATCTTATACTACAGACGGGCAAGGGGGGACCTAACTGAGGTGTATAAGTATCTCAAAGGGCACTACTCAGTCGAGTACCCTTACCTGGAGCTGGCGGACGCTCGCCCCACAAGGGGTCACAACTCAAGGTTGAAGAAGCTGCAAGTCCAGAAAACTGTAAAGGCAAATTTTTTCAGAGTGAGAGTTGTGAACTCTTGGAACAATCTGCCAGAGTGTTGTGACAGCACCGAGTGTGAGCTCTTTCACGACCCAGTACTTGCCAGCAGTACGTAACAGAGATGCGAGTAAGAAAAAGTGACCGACCGACCGAGCGGCGAACGAGCCAATCAGTGGCGAAGAGGATAAAAGTAAAAAGTATATTTTCTCAGATGAATGTGGTTTACTCTAAATTGAGGAATCGCTTTAGTGTACAATCAGTTGAGGCAATACTTCAGATCAGGTATGAGTTATCACTTCAGGGAATTTCACGTCCTCAGAAGATATGCTGAAAAATGTTGCTGCTAAGGGAAGTTTTCAAATTGAAGGAGAAAATAATAGCGATGATAGCTAAGAAATTGTCACACTTAATCTGGAAGCAGAGTAGAGAAGTTTGTTGACCCAGAACCCCAAGGTATAAAGATGTATAACCTCAACTGAGTTACTGTAACACTACTGATTCCTCATAACCCTAACGGTTATACTATTTTTAAAAGTTTTAATGGCCCCCACAGCATGCAGCCATAACCTAATCCCCATTCTTCTTAACACTTAATGCTTTGTTTGAAAGGATACTACATTACTTTTTATTTATGACACTATAAGCTGTTACTGTAGCATGCTGCAACTTACTACATTTTGCTTTCATAGCATTTGGTAGTTTGAATTTTATGTCTTCTAAGCAATTAATTTACTTTAATTTTACATCTTTTGATAATAAATTTGGAGTACCTTAATTTCGGTTATGTCTTATTTCAACATTATTTGTGTAAAAATATTGTGGGAAAATCTGTGGGATTTTATAAATTTTTGTGGGAATTTTGTGGGAAAAATATTGCTCATATGTGGGAAGTGGCAAAGCTGGCTGTGTTGTCAAAGTTAGAGAAACAATTGAGACCCTGCAGTTGTGTGTAAATGAGGCAGAAAGTCAGATCAGCAGCCTGGGACTTGGTCACACATGGCAACAGGGTCTACCATTAGTGAACATATTATGCTTCCAATATCTTCCCAGGCGATAGTACTGTAGTGGATACTCTCCCCTACAATTGCCGATTTGTCATATACCGTCCGCTTACTAGCCAACCAGTGGCGAGTTCCACAGACCGGGCCTCGCTTTCAGACTGCATGGTGATTGGCCAGTTACCGCCTTCACCTCAGCCAATCAGCAGCGCCGCTCACTTCCGACCTGTCTGTCTGATCCGGCAGAATCATATAAATACCCCCAGCCTCGCCGTGAAGGTCATTAGACTCAATGCTCTCAAACAGACAAGACCTCCTCTCAACAAGCTCCTCACCACACAGCAACTCCCGAGCACTGCATTGTACATACCCGGTATAATATATATATATATAGAAAACGCCATTGTGAGTTTTCCTTCTCACCTCCAACCTTAGTGCGAGATCTTCTACATGTACGTATGTATGTATGTGAGCCTAACAAAGAGAAAATAGACAAACACAAAGAGAAATTTGACAACTGGCCACATACACTACGCTACAGTACCTCCTTGTTTGACAGCTGCCTACTACCTGTGATTACTTGATTACTTACACCAAAAAATAACTGCCTTGCTTACTTCATTAATTATTTACAACATTAAATAACTTATTACTTACACCTAAAAAAATAACTGACCTGCTTACTTAATCAATTACCTATTTTTTTTTACCACACCACAAAATAATTTAAACATTTAATTATGGTTATATCATAAAATACAGTAACTTCCTTATCTTCTTTGTTTCTAATTCATTATGGGGTGAAGATTCAGTAAAGTACAACCAAGGAAATTACTAACAAATAGGTTTATATTATGTACATGAAGGCAATTTAAAAGAATCTGACTGTCATTTGTGGTAGATATTAATATTTATGGAGATATGACCCATTACCAATAACAGTGACTGCACAAAGTGGGCAGGGCTTTGAAGTTGAGGAAAATGTTGGGATAAAAACACACAAAAACTGAACCAAACCTCTGAAAACCTGCCCTAACTTCACTAATGTTTAACTTTTTTAAGAGAACCTTTTCAACTATCTGTATAAAATTTTATAGCGTCATATTTTGTTTAGAAAAAAATCTCAGTTAAAACAATAATTCCAGAAGACATCCACAAAGTCTGACAACACAGAATATAAACACCAGAAAAATTCATTCCCCTGCCTCTCCTATGGTGTTTGGAGGCCCTCTCATAGTGTTGGTTTCTATCTTATGTTCCTATATTACTTATAATTTTGTACTTGGCCTTTACTTTGACTTTAAATACTGTACTGTAGCTGTCATGGTGAGAGCAGAACATCTCACGATCCCAGTCACTGTCATCCTGTCAGTCAGTAAAAGCCACATGTGCACTTGATGTCCCACAGCTAATTACTTTATTCAGTCTATCTGGGACATCAAAGAGAGTCTGCCAGCTGTAAAAAAAAAGCACCAGGAGAAACCCCACACAAAGACTCTACTGTACTTGCTGCTTTTGTTTCTAGCTGTACATTGCTAATCTAGAGGGATCCCTATTTCCCTGATAATATTGTCCAAAGCGATCTGCAGGGTACAATATGTTCTTTTTCCACAGCTTCAACAGGTGAGCTATTCCACAGGTCTTGCACTCTATGTAAAAAAGCATTTCTTCTGTTCTCCAAGATGACTGGGCATACATAAATCTATGACCTCTTGTGTAACATCAATACAGAGAAAGTCTGGTGGTTATGTTTCCCATCTTGTTTATGGTTTCAAACATGTGATATCTGTTACCATGATCTGTTTGAAGAGTTGGCAGTTTTGACACCTTTAGCTTACTGTACTTGAGGATACAAGATGCCATATTTCAGGAATACTTTTTGTCATTGAAATTGAGGACCACACTGGAAATGACATACAAACTACTTCATGAAAGTCTTTGTAAAATATCTTTATTAGCAGTCACTACACTACAGGAGCATAGCAAGTGTGCAGGTCTGCCATCTTGCCCAACACCTTGATGATAATTCACCGATATATTGTACTGTTTCACATTAATATACATCTGACTTTCTTGACATATAAATACACAGATAAAGAAGATAAATAAAATACCTTTACAAAATAGTCAGTGGAATATAAGCACACTACTGTACCTGACAATAATAATTGTGTTGGTGAAAGTAATTTGATTACTGCAGCTTTATGATCACCAAGAACACATTAAATAATCACATACAGTCTCTATCATCATCATGATAAGCTAAAACATTAAAGTACATTACAACATTCATAAATAACCTGTTATATAAATAAGACAAAATACACATGTGTGTGTATACACATATTAAAATATATAAACATTACATCATTCCCAATTAATAAAATATACTAAGTCTTGTAAATAAAAAAAATTAATAAACTTGTCATCAAATCACATTCAGAGGAGCCCCATGAGGCTTCCTAGCTGTTTATCGGGTTCAGTGTACTCAATTATTTCAATACAGTATTCATTTATTCTTTAATTTACCGGTACAGTACTTGTAGTTACATAATTTCCTCTACTGTGTGTTCTCTCAATAGTCCTCTGGCACACTTTCAGGACATACTAATGTGCTCTTAAGTTTGTATGGGCGACCTTCCCTCCCTCCAGCCTCCAAGTGAGGAATTTCAAATCTTCATCAACTTTTTCTTCATTGTACATTTCATAAATTCTACCATCACAATGCAGTTTTATTTATCCCTCTTTGTAATGACTGGTTCACCCTGTATGTGTTTCTTGCATCATCCTTACATTACTGTACTCTTCTACCACTGTATCTTACTGCCAACTTTGTATAACACACATGCTTCCTATTTGAATTCCCTTCCCATTAACAAATCTTTTCCATTGATATTAATTTAAAGTGATAATGCCCATTCACATACAATACTGGTGACACTTCCATCCTGTACCATCACCTTATCCTGCCACCTACTCCTGATACAGTATTTGAACAGTATGCGATCACACACAAGCACCTCAAATTTAAGACATGCTAACAACTTTAAAGTGGTTGTACAGTAGCACCTACCTCACAATGTGCACAGCAGTAAGTACTAGGTGTAAGAGGAGATTATTACATATGGGCAAAATTATGATTAATCTGTTATCCAGTGCCAGTTATCACACATTACTGACACTGTACCTATGTTGCAGCCAAGTTTTTATTGAGTGCTTTTGGCTAATTTCACTGACGTCTGAGCACTACAGTTAGGTTTTAACATTCTGATGAAGGAAAAATAATTGTTCTACAGCATGACATAAAACCAATATTATAACAGATGCACTGTCTTAATAATATAATTCATGCTGTCGATAAATTTCCAGCATCTGATATCAAATTATGTAGTGAGGTGCCAATGGCAGACCAAAGAGGTGGTGAGGGAGTATGAAGGTTTCAAGTAAACTATTA